TCATATCCCATGCAGTTTTTGATGGTTTGAAACGTATTGGAAAGGTCAAAAAGCTCGAAAAGTGAATACCCTATGATTTAAATGATCGACAGAAATTGTCGCGTTTCGAGGTCTTTTCTTCTTTGCTTTTGCGCAACCAAAACGATCCTTTTTTGGATCAGATCGTCACGTGTGAAACCAGGTCCGATCCTGCTCCTCGACAACGCCTGTCTGCACGTTTCACAAATCACCGTCCAAATATAATTGAATTGAGCGTCGAAGCTCTGCCTCACCCACCATACTCCCCAGACCTCTCGCTAACCGACTACATCTTTTCAAGCACTTCTATAACTTTCTTACCGATAGAATCTTCGCCAATCAGGATCGGGCAAAACGGTCTTCGAATCCGAGCAACCAATTTTTATGCTGACGGAATTACACGATTACACTGATTCAAATATCGTTTATCTCGATTGAATTGAATAAGTATCCACTGAGATATTATAGTTGTAGACTTATAAAACCAGACAAAACTTCAGAAACAACATAATAAATTAGTCAAGAGATAATGTTAGTTTGCGAATAAAACCTGATGTTAGATAGATAAAAGGCAATATTTTATGTAAACATTGGATAAAAAGTACATATATATANATAATTATAAAATCGTTAAAATATATATCTCAAGTATACGAAGGGATGGGAACTATTAAGAATTTATGGAGAATGAATATATAAATGGTATAAATGAGATACTTGAGAACGCAATTAGTTAAACCCATTGTATATCAATTAATAATGATAATGATCATAATAATTAAATGTGGTTTTTTTTTCTCTTCATAGTAAGTCTAATTAGTGTAATTGTATGCTCTCTGTTTTCAATTGACTTACCATATGTGCATATTGCACCTAATTGGCGAAAATAAATTATTATCATTATTTCATTATTATTATTATTATGTTCACAGAACGCAATTAGTTCAACCCATTGGAGATCAGTTCAATTGCGTAACAACCATATGCTAAATATATCCCTTTCAATTTGAACATAAAATGCTATTTTTTCACAAAACTATTGTACATGACATTCAAATTTCAATATATCTATTTCAAATCCAGAAAATCTTGTTTTTAATATATTGTTTATATATTCTATTGCTGTAGGTATATCAAGGCGATTACAGCGTCTGCAACGTAAAGGGATAATATTGCTTTCATTCAGGTTGAAAGCCAAAAAATTTTAGTCGCACCATTGTTTTATTGTTCTGCCAGAATCTCACGACACGTGAAATGAGACTGACATAACTTTGTACAGATGAGCTAAATTGGATACATTTGATAGTCTGTTTTATACAAACCGAGTAAATGCAGAAGCAGCAAGCAATTCGTATCACGAGAGGTATCCAGAAAAAAGAAAACCTTTTAGAGACATTTTTGCAAGATTGCGACATAACCTAATTGATGATGGTCAATTAGAAAAGAAAAGTCCGAAATTATATGAACCAAATAGGGATAAAGAGTTGGAAAAAATAGTCGTTTTAGGAGCTGTTGAAAATCATCCCAAAACGACAACGCGAAATTTGAAATTATCGACAGGCCTACCAAGAACTAACGTTAGGGGGCTTTTGAAAACACACAAATTTAAGCAATACAGGTCCAGAAGAGTTTGACACCTCAGACCAGGATAATTTGAACGCCGCATAGCTTTTTGCCAGTGGTTCCTGGAAAGTTGTAACCCAGTGCGTGATTTTTAGTTGAATTGTATTTGGACAGACGTATGTGTATGTGAGCAGTGCCGGCATTTTTCATAGTTGTACAACAAAATCCTCATTCTATTGTGTAGCAGAGAAGTCAAAGAAGATTTGGATTTAGTGTGTGGACAGGTGTTTTCAGGGGTTGAAATATCGGCCCGTTCATTTATCTCATATCTCAGAGATATTCAGAAATTTTAGGCAGAATTTTGAACCCCTTGTTGATGAATTGCCACTAATGGAGCTCTGAAAAATATATTTTCAACAAGACAGGGCTTCGCCTCACAACAATGCAGTTGTCACCAATTTTTTGTCTGCAAATTTTGGTAATAATGGATTAGTCTAGTCCACCAAGGACCCAACCGTTGACCGGCCAGGTCATCGGACCTAACGCCTATAGACTTTTACCTCTGGGGAAGGTTGAAAGATTTTATTTTTAAATTGCCCACCAATTCTAGATTTGAATTGGAAGCAGCAGTGATGCAAAGTTTAACTTTTTTCACTCCTACTGAACTAATTAATTCGGCAAAAAATCTCCATGAAAGGTGTCGCCTCTGTGTAGGAGAATCTGGTATACATTTTGAACACCTTATCTGAAGAAATATATTTAATGTTTTGTTTTGTATCATTATTTCTATCATTGTTGAACTTTCATTTAGTAGTAATAGTAAATATAGTATAAATTGTTTTATTAAAACTATGCGTTTCAATTACTGCTGTGAAAAGCTTTCTCAACATTTGATAGCTATTACTGAACAATTTCTTTGTGTTTTTTCGGCCTGTCGCGTCGTCCAAAACCTACATGATCAAAGTCTGCGTTTCAAAGTGTATAGTATTTCCAATACCAATTGGAACAGCACAGAGAAGGAATTCCCGCCTCGACATAGGAGTCAGCATATTATTTTTCATTGGCAGTTTTTCAGTTACTTATTCTTATGTCGGAGTTGAACAATGCGTGTCGATTCCATTATGACTATTCGATTGTTCAATTTTTTATATTTGAAACCACAAGACAATAAGACACCTCGTAGGGTTTCTAAAGATTTGTAATTGTAATCGGGATAGTCGAGTAATTTATACCAAATCATTTCCAAGGTTGGTACTTCTTTTTTTTTATATATACCATAATCACATCTTCTGTAGCACCATCAACGTTTGCGAATTTTTTATTCCTTTGTTTTAGTTTCATTGCATGGTCAATGACATCCCCTATTTTAATGACTCGAAAAACTATCGAACGAGATAGTTTCGTTAACTCGCATATTCTATTCACAATAGCATTCTGTGAAGTGTGACAGTTTTCCTTCTTCAAGCATTCATGAATATTTAAAATTACCCGCTGAACTTGAACATGTAAGTCCTTATTTTCAAATTCCGGATCCCTGTCGATTGACACAGATTCCTCACACGTAATGTTACATTTGTTTCAAAAGGTCTCCAGAAAGCCATATTGATGAAAGTTCCCAAAAACACTAAGTTTTTCCCAAAAATCGGTTTAAACGATGAGATTGGAACCTTTGGTGTAAAAGTTGAAAACTTTTTCTAGAGATCAATTACTCTAACACCAAACTGATATTTTTGCACTCGACGCGCGTTACGCTAACAAGGTTAGCATCTTCAGGAGAAGCAAATTGATACTGAACATGAAGACAAGGGTTAGCTGTTTATATACCTAAGTTTTTTTGTTCAATGTGGACTTTGTTTGTTAAATGATGATTATTCTAATTGATTTTTCGGTAATTAACTAGTGGAACCACTACCTTTTTAATCTATTGTTTACAAATTACTTTGCAGGTAGTGGTTTAGGTATACCTATAAACAGCTAACCCTTGTCTTTAGATTCATTATCAATTTGCTTCTCCTGAAGATGCTAACCTTGTTACCGAAACGCGCGTCGAGTGCAAGAATATCAGTTTGGTGTTAGGGTAATTGATCTCTAGAAAAAGTTTTCAAAAATCGGTTTGTAACACCACTCACTACTTCCCTTAACCCTACGAAATACGGCACTGATAAAGAAATATTGTGAAACGGACAAAAATTAGTATTCAGCCAGTCCAGCTAGCCGAGCCTTTATTCGTCAACTACATTTGATAGCACGTATACTAACTATCTGGGCGACTATGGACCACAGGCAAGAAATGTTTATGACTGTACTCTTATTTTTATTGCCGTTCCAATTGAGAATGGATAGACTATACACGAAAAAACCTAAAGCTCTGACTCCACCAAAACATCGAGTGTATTACATTTTTGGAAAGGTAATTTTAAGCTCTATTGAAATATGCAGGAATATACAGAGTGTCTCGTTGGAAAAATAGTTTTCCATCAATAACTAATGATATCTCATTTAAAAAAAAATGTTTTTCACACCATTGAATTCTACGTAAAATATTGCTTTGGCAATATATTCAAAGAGACAAGAAATTTTTGACAAGAAAAAAGTTACAGCAACGTTTGTAACTCAGAAACAATGATAGATATCAATATGCGGTTTTCGCCATTAAGTTTGTCATAATATTTGACACCTAGACACAGTCATCAGTTTTCATCTATCTAGTTTGAAAACAAGAGTTCCCCTTCAAAAGTATCTAATTTGGCCCACTCTCTGTACACGTGTTGATAGATAGAATACAAATCGTTTTCAAATGTACCTAAACATTGGTGTACGCTTTTAGCGCCTCTGTCGCCGAATACCTAAGTACGTTGGATCTCTTCATTTTATGAAGAATCAAGAGTGCCGTATATCGAGTGTTTTCGTCAAGTATTTTATATATACGTAGAAGTCAATCAGAAATCATTGAAAACAACACAGAATAACCCACATTTGAGTTTCCATACATCCTCGACTTGTAAGGTTAAAAGTTAAAACCATACATGTTGGTTAAAACCGAAGGTATAAAGTTGTCTCTCCATAAATTTTTCGATTATCAAACCAGAATTGTCAAAGGCAAACTAGTTTCAAAATATAGAGCTCTTATTAGTGACAAGGAAAATTGTAAGAGTCCTATGAGGTACCTAATTTGTGTATAGTTAGTTAAAATCAAACATTTTACTTCTGAACATCACCAGTTATCGAATATATGCTTCAAATATCCTTCCAGGAACTGAAAAAAGCTATCTTTTTACGATAGTAAAATAAACAAGGGAAAAGATAAGAAAATAGAATATGCGTTTACCATGCTAAATCCTAAAAATAAAAACATATGGATCATGACAAAACATTTATCTCTTATCGATTTACTATGAAATCATATCTCATCGATAAGAAATTTCGCTAAAAAAATTTGGTATTAAGTGACAGTTTCTCACCTTTGTTGGGAAGAGTAACTAGATCTCAAAAATGTCTCGCCCTTCAGAAGAAAACATTGCTCTTCAGGAAGTGGGACAAAATCCCGACCGTTATCGAATCATTTTTGAACAGGTGAGTTTTATCTGAGTGATTGTTGATTTTATCATAATCGCGTACTTCAATTTTGGAGAAACACTGAATCATTAATTTTATTATCCTTATCTCCTATTTAATTTATCCAAATTACTCACACACACACACCTATTCAGTGGGTGAATCACAAAAACAAATTGTAGAAATTTGAAGTTAAATTTCATTGTTTTGAAACAGCTTTTGTCGTTACGATCAGATTTCCGTCTTTATGGTTTTTTGATGAATTTGAAGGCGATCTCATTCGATACGACCGGCAATACCAAATAACAATTATTATAATAACTCTTCAAATTAGGTTGACAACAAATTTTTGTGGAATCATGAATTGATTTTGTCTGCTTTTTTCTTGTATAACTTCAAATAAACTCGAAAAAATAGTGCATAATCAACAGTGCTGGCGGGATACCTAAATTCAATGTGAGCAAGATACATTTCGCAAGGTCCTCTGATGGTGCAAGAAGAAGGCTTTATAAAATTAAAATACACTTGATCATTCATCAAGAAACACTTACCAACATTTTTACTTAGGAGAAAGTCGGGCAAAGTGAATATCTTAAGATATTTAATGCTTTAGCAGAAAATGTATAAGGTACAAAAACAAAATAACTAGCACAACTCAGTCTTTATCTATTGCTTCAACAATAACCATCATCAGTTACCCTTCATAATTAAACAATTATCAACTGCCATTAAAATTTTATAAAAAACGAAATTATTCACTTTGCCCGGATTCCCGGGTAAAGCGGATACAGTACTCGGACAAAGTGAATACACACATTCCAATGTCTGAAAACGTGAGTAATAAATTTAATGAACTGAAAAAAAATAACTATCCGATTTTTGTAATGTCCTTTTACGAGTAGTGATTGGTTTGGCAGGATTTGGTATAGGTCTTAACATAAAGGGACTGCAGTGAGAAGTTGAGTATCCAGGTTTGGGATCCAGTGAAATGCTCGCATTTTGTTGAATATTTACTTCAGTTTCTGGCCGCATTGTATCACTTTTCTGAGCATTTGTTGTTGCATCTAGTTCAAAAGCGTAGAAAGATTGAGAACATCCTGGTGCTAGTTCAGGTGTGCCTGTAGATCCAACGTCGATACTATTTTTTTCAGGTGTATTAAGAGAGACAATTGGCGTAACAAAGGCCTGAAGATGGGGGGGGGAAACTCTGCTCGGACTGCTCGGACATGGATTTATTTTTAATAAAGGATCGATTAGATTTGGAGAGATGAGTTCTTGAAGAAGTGAAGTTGAAGGGGTTGACGAAGTTTATGCAGAAGGTCCGAGAGTATCGATATTTTCTAGTGAATTTGTGCCTTCTGTGTGAATATTCATATTAGATGTGCCTGCGATCACGGCGGCTGGTTCGTAATCTTCGTCACCAAAAGCATATTTATTAACTGCATTTAGAGCTATTGCACTTTTCAAAAATGTCCGTGATAACAGTTTGGCCACATTATATTGATTTATAATGCGTCCTGAGTTTGATTTTTCAAAAACATTTCTCTCCCTTTCAAAATATGTTTTTAGTGGGCCGTAAACGGATACATCCATGGGCTGCATTTTATGAATTGTATGTGGGACCAAGGATAAAATTACGACGTTATTTTTGCTAGCATATTCCAAAGCTGGGTAATACTTACGGCTCTCGTGGTTGTCCAATAGAAGAAGTATTTTTTTCTCAGGGGTAAGTCGAACATGTCCACAAAAAAATGCATCCAATCAAGGAATACCTCACCTGAAGTCCAACCATCTGCAGTACAAGTTCCTTGAGTGCCAGGATGCGCACCATCAAGTAAACTGGGCTGCTTTTTTTTCCTGGCAAAAATTAAAAATGGCGGTAGAAACGAACCAGCAGCATTACAACAATCGATGACCGTCGTCAATTGACCACGTTCTGCACTATCAATTGTGCCCACCTGTTTCTTTCCTCTTATTGATAGCACTTTAGGTGACTTATTAGTGGTGGTTGATATACCAGTCTCATCCATGTTGTATAATCTAGAGGCATCAATATCGTATTTCACAGTCAAAGTTTCAAGCTTTTCATAAAATCGTCCAACTTCACGTCTATTGAATCCTTTCGCCCTTGCAACCGATGTTGCTTCTGGAGTCCTGAGGGAAATTTGATTGTGACGTGACAAAAATGACGATAGCCAGTCACCTCCAGCTTTTTCGTACTTGTCCCAGTTTTTCGGGTAGTTCAAATTATTTTTCTTATCATAGGTGAATGCTAAATTTTGAAACTCGTCTCGAGTCAGGCCAAAAATTACAGAATCCATATCTTTGAGATATATTATTAACTCTGTCTCCTGATCTTCAGTAAAAACATGACGGAATCGGACCAGTTTTGGAGCCGCGCTGCCAGTTTTCACATGTCTGTACAAGGTTGCATATGCCAACCCATACTTTTTAGCTGTGCTCTTTATTGATTCTCCAGCTCTGCACAAATTGATAGCCGTTTGCATGACATTTTTATCCCACGACCCTTGTTTAGCTTTTTTTATATTTATTCACCATTATAGATAGGACATTATGAAATCGTAAGTCAATAATCACAAATTACGGGCAAAGTGGATACCATATTCACTTTGCCCGACTGGGTAATTTTTGAAGTCAACACGTTTCATTAAAAAACCTAATGATTCTGACAGTGTGTTAAATATACTATAAAAAAATCAGTGTGAAAACAACCACGAGTTCTAGCCATGGATTTGTCGAAGCGTCGCGCGAGACCCCATTATCAGCAGCTCCCAAAATGAGTATCCATTTCGTGGCCAGCAATGACTTTACTAAATGACCGCAAAGAAAAATCCATAATTCCTTCACATCATAAGTGAGTGGGGATTNATGTACTTGCCTTGCAAAATAATCTTTTTTTCACAAAAAAACAAATCTGCACTCTGTCGGCGGCACGCGACGCAGCCTCTCTCTCTGGTGTTTTCTACGGACTGGCCCAAGATGGCCGAACGTTGAAGTGGTAGCGTGTTGAACCACGCGCGAATAAGTTAGGAGTAGTGAGGAGTATTCGCTTTGCCCAGTATATTCACTTTGCCCGACCTTCTCCTATGTACTTTTTTGGAATTTTAAACAACAAAATTAAAGAAAAACCCGACTCAAAAGTAATGAAAAAGAATCATGTCTAGGTCGCCGTATCAAAACCGCAGTCAAAGTCACTGATATGAGTCCAAACACGTCACGTCTGTTGTGAGTTGCTGAGGAGTTAGTCCTTTGCAGACTGTTCTGGTTGCAGCATCAAGTCAAAGCAAAAATGGTATTGTACATAGGTACTCTTGAAAATATCATATCGAATTTTTATTTCGGACAGTCAAGTGGATGTACTTTTAACAATAATTGAATGCGTAATAATTCCTCTTCATAATCTTGAAAACGAGCTGATAACTTTATAACTTTTGAACGGTGGAAGCCGTTCGCCATGATAAACGTGAATAAAAAATTAAAAAAAAAGTATTTCACATTATTCAATGTTAAAAAGTTGTGATTTTCATGTTGAACACTTCTTTCAAAATTAAAATTTCCAAAGAAAATATTCTCACATAGCACAGGTATGCAATTGTTTTATACGTTATTATATGTTTACTCGAAGATTCTAGTTGAAAAACTCCAGACATCACCAGAAGATGACAAATGAGACTTTATTCCATGAAAATCAAAAGATAAATAGATAAGTACTATTCTGCCTATTGGGATCGTCAGAACCGGGCAGGCGGTCCTCGATTGAAGTGACGTAATCCATCTTGATTTTATTCAGGTTGAACGATTGAAGTGACGTTAACCATCTTGATTTTATTCAGGTTGAAGCCTGGCCTCCTTCCCCTTTTAACTGAAACGATTGAAGTGAACAACCATGAAAAGTACTTAATTAAAATAACTGCGTAAACGCAAAGCGGGACATAAGTGGAACCCCCTATTGGTGTGACATCCAAGTCAACTTGCCAGGTTTTTTATGTCAGTGTTGGTGGTTTGACCAATCAACCGACAACTGCGGTGGCAAAAACTTAGGAAGATAACATGGAAGGCCATTGGTAAACGAATCCACATGTTTCTAGAAATTAATTATTTTCCGGCAGCTTGACTGCATTAACCTTTTTCGATTTCATATCATTTCTAGAAACATGTGGATTCGTTTATCGATGGCATTCCAGGTTAGCTTCCCATAATAAATATTTTGTTTATATAGGTGAGTGGGAAAGTAGGGATTCAAATAACAGGGGGATAATTGAAAATACTTCTGAATACTACTCACTCACATATGTATACAATCGATCGCTTCAAAAACACTTTACTAACTTTCTTCGAAAGCTTCTGATAATTCCTCTTCCATATTATGTGTTTCATTGTCACTGTCGTCGTTTGAATCAATAATGAATTTATTTCCTCCATTAATATGGAAGTGTCCAATCTCCATATAGTCTTTTTCAACTAAAATAACTTTTTTAATACTTTTCTGCCAGTCTTCTTCGATATTATCAGATTCTTCTTTTTTTAATTAGCTCTATTACCTTGTTATCAAATTTTGGAATTAATTTTACTCCTGATGCTTTGTTTCGATTTTTCCCAAATCAACTCGATGGGATTAAAAACACAAAAATAAGAGGGAAGTCTCAGTATGGTGTGTACATACTTCTCAGCAATACACATCTTCAAATGTTTTTGTCTGTAAAACTTCAAGTAGTTGGTTTTTGGTATAGTAATCTTTAAAATACAAATTGTTATCTATTGAAAAACTTTGTATTTCATCTTTCTTCGAATTTTTATTCGGTACTTTGATGAGCTGTCGCGAATGATAGGAAGCTTTGTCAAGAACTATTACACTATTCGCATCCAAATTTGGGATCAGTGTATTCAAACGATTTCTCGAAAATATCAGTTTCCATGTTCTTACGATACTCAACATTGCAGTCTTCAAGTTTTCTTTCACATGATTTTAAAGAATTCGGAACCCATCCTTTACTTTCTACGCAATGCACAATGATTAGTTCCGATCCTTTGTTTGCAGGCATCTTAGGCGTACACATTCTCGAACCATCAGTCCACTCTTTCGTAACTGTGTCGTGAGTGTCATACCAAGTTTCGTCCAAATAGAAAATATGCCGTTGTTCTTGTCTACATTTAGTTATTTTTTACGCAATTCCACTATTCTTCCGCTTTCCATAACCGCTTGACGTTTGTTTATTATTTTAAATCTTAATCCTACTTTCTTTATCCAATTCTTTTATCATAACAGATCACGTTATGGCCGGAAGTATTCAATTTCTTGCTTATGATTTCAGTTGTAGGAATCTCATTGTTTTGTAACAGTGGTATATTGTTTTTTCCAATTATTTTATTAGATGAACATCTGAAGGTTTTGGTAATTCTATATCACATCCTGTCTTGCATTTATAAGGTTTGTTTTTGACTATTTTACGTACAGTTGAAAAAGGAATTTCGGTCAAATCTGGCGATACAACTGCCGCCAACAGCATATGCAGGAAAAACTTTGTGGTATTAGCCAGGGGAGCAGTTGTTTTCTGATAGGTGTCAGTCTATTAACCTAAAGTGTAGGGAGTTGAGACTGGCCTGAACAAATTATTTCTTTAGATGATTTGATTTATAGCCAGCCTTAAAATATGCCCACTGGCTATATGTAATATATTTCTCTTAGACTGCTCTATTTCCAATTTATTATAACTTTAAGTGTGACTTCAATCAAGATGGATACATTTCTGTGAGGGAGCTGGTTCATTTTCTTTCGTCAGATTCTGAGAGATGTAGAGGTTTGAAGAAAAATAATGTCAGAAGAATTCATAAAATGGCGGACTTGAACGGCGACCATTCTCTAGATTTTCATGAATTTGTTGAGCTAATGGAACGCCAAGACTTCAAAGACATCGCTGGAAAATATTTCGCATGGTGAGTAATGGAGTGATGAATGAATTAATACCACCAGGCACCTGTGCAACGTCTTCCATTCGTAAGATTCCTCGCAAGTAAATTTTTATATATGAAAAGCCGAAATTCATTTCATTCAACACCCTCGGGTGACACTTCGCCACTTTATCTTTGTTGGATACCTGTTATCTCTTTACATGTGTATACAAAGATGAATAAAAACGATTTATTATTCGGTCGGGACGACCACCGATAGACCGGTTTCGGAGTACTAGCTCCTCGTCAGTACCGAAAGGGTTACTTCAGACGGAATGAACCATCTGAATATCCCAAACAAACAAAATTAATTCCATGTTCCAGGGAGGCGCATATGATATGCTCAAGTATAGGTGAAACCTCCTCATCCTTGCCTCTCATGCAAACCTACAACTTTGTAAGCACGTGTGGCACGTACCCAATGGAAAACCAACAACTAACTCAACTAACTAACTTCAGCAGAAAGCTGAAGTAAAGCTATCAGGCACCTGTGCAACGTCTTCCATTTGGAAGATTCGTCGCAAGCTGAAATTAATTTCATTTGGTCGGGACGGCCACCGATATACCGGTTTTGGAGTAGGTACTAGCTCCTCTTCAGTACCGAGAGGGTTACTTCAGACGGAATCAACCGTCTGAATATCTGCCACACGTGCCTACAAAGTGCCTACAAACGGTAGATATTTTTTTCATATTTTAGGTATGTGCATACTTTGATACCTCATTCCCAACCTGAAGCTCAACGTGCTCGAAGCTTTAGACTGCACAGCTATTCAACAAGCTATGAAGAAGAGGAAAAAACACTAGATTACAGCTGTTGTCCTCCTCCAATTTTCATGGTCTTGATTTCGGCATTAGAATTCGCACTTTTTATCACAGATGAATTAACTCAAACTGATTCTACACTTACAGGATCTGGAGCAACTGGAAAATATTTGCTATGGGATCCTGCTAAGAAATCAGAATTTTGGAGATATGTTACGTACATGTTTGTTCATATTGGGTAAGCCACTAACAAAATAACAGGAAATTTCCATAATCTCTTATTGATTTTTTCTCTATGTGTATATCTCTCTAACACAATAGGGGCCATTCAAGTATTACATAAGCATAGTTATTGCAAATATTAACCCCCTCATCCCCCTTGTCAGCAAAAGTAAACAAAGCTTTTACCCCCTCCCCTCGCATGCTTACGTTAACATTGCTATATGCATTTTTCTTTTAATGTATTCTGTTTTTGGTTATTTATTTATGAGCAGCAATTCATTAGTTCGGACTTCCATTGTTTAATATAATATAAATTGATTTGAAATCCCTGAAAGAATCTATAAAAAAAAGATTAGTTGAAAAATAACGATAATATTAAGCAAAAAAACTGAAATTACAATGAAACAAAATACAAGCAACAATAAAAAAATTGAACTATTAATACGAGATGAAAATTAAAAATTATTAACCCTTTATCGGGCGACTCCCTAAATATTTTTATATTGTTTAATGGTCAACGTAACCATATGGTCACGTCAACTTCAAAACCCTCCCAAATCATATCCATGCCGTTTGAAATGTCGCGGGCTACGTTACCATATAGTTACGTTGTTTTTGTGGAGGGAAAAGAGCCGGTTGGTTTTCGCGCCAATCGAAATGTGTGTTTTTACTAGGTTATGCCTGTTGGTAGCGCTGCAGCGTCACAGGTCATGTGTGACATTCGTATAAAAGTTTCAATTCCTACTGAAACCATAGTAATTTTATGTCTATAGTGTCACTGCTGTTTTGTGAAAGAATCAGGTAATATGTTGTTTATTTGTTTCCGATCCAATTTACACGAATATAGAAGCAATGTTAACTTTGAAATATGCGTATCCATATGCTTACATTGCCCATACTGAGAAAGTGTTTCATCTAGGTTTCGAAATATATATTCATGGAAAATCTTGGAACAATTCCCTCATGTTCATTTTATGAGAGGAAGAAATTCAAATTTCCACCTCTGCCTGATATTTCCGATAGTTCTGGAAGTTCTGATGATGAGGAAAATATGACTGAAGCAAATTCAAAACAAAATTACGCAAACGGTAACTGCAACTTCAGGAACTGATAGTTCCGACGACGAGGAAAATCTAACATTGTTCCAAATTCAAACCAAAATGAAGCAAGTTATGAATCTCACTTCAGGTAACCAGCATAATATAAGGAAGTGGGGAGGTGATAATCGATTTTTTTTCAGCATATATTGAATCAGATGAGGAAGATATATCTGGAATTAAACAAACTTTCGATGAAGAGGACGCAGAGATAGAGGAACCAACAGCAAAAAAAAAGAAAAAGGGAGAAGAAAAAAAAAGGACCAACTTCCAGCTGGACAAAGGAAGATATATGTGGAATGAACAACACATATTTCGTTCCGGATACAAATGAAGAGATACCAACTCCAATCGAGTATTACACCAAACTCTTCTCTTTTGATATAATAAATGATATAATCGACCAGACTAACCTGTATAGTACACAACTAACTGGTAAATCCATAGACACCAATACCAAGGAAATAACCGATTTTTCATCCATATTATTGTTGATGGGAATAATAGATCTTCCGTCTTTCGAAGACTATTGGGCAAATCACACCCGAATTGAGCAAATATCAAGTTTGATGTCAGCCAAACGTTTCAAGAAATTGAGACGTAATATTCACTTCAACAATAATGAAAATCTATCTGGTAACACAACGGACAGATATTTCAAAATCCGCCCTTTGATGGAAAACTACAGTCTAATTTTCTAAAATTCCACACTGAAAATCAGTACTCTGTAGACGAGACGATAGTCGCTCATAAGGGTACTCGTGCGGGAAATCTCCGTCAGTATATAAAAAATAAACCCCATAAATGGGGATATAAATATTTTGTTATTGCTGGTGTTAGCGGATATATATTAGATTTTATTCCCTACCAAGGTTCGAGTTCCTTTGATGTTTTGAAGGGAACTACGAATGAAATTACTGTGAACGAATTTGACTTGAGTGTTGGAGCTGCAACTGTAATTGCTTTAGCAAAATCATTGCATGATCCAAGCAAATCGACTTTTGACAACTATTTCGCTAGTCTGCCACTCTTCTTGTATCTCAAGGATGAAATGAAAATAAATAGCCTGGGAACACTACGAGCAAATAGAATTGCTGGTTGCCCGATAGAAACTGACAAAGTTCTACAAGGGAGAGGATGACTACAAAACCGATAAAGACAAAGGCATTATTGTAGTGAAATGGGTTGATAACAGGGCTGTTTTATTAGGCAGTACTCTATTTGTACACTATGTACACTATGTACACTATTTGCCCATAGACACTATGAAGAGATACAATAAAAATACGAGGACAAAAACAGATATCAAGTTTCCAGCAATCGTCAAACAATATAATAAAAATATGGGTGGTGTTGATACAGCTAATGCTCTCCCAAAGCAAAAAGATGGTACTTTCCCATATTTGCATAACTTTTAGATGTGACGGTTGTGAACGCATGGCTTCTTTATAGAATGGATTGTACACCAAAAATATATACCTCTCAAACGGTTTAGGTTGGAGGTTGCGATGGGTTTGTCTCGTTGCGGAAAGGAAGCCAGAAGAGGTCGACCCAGCTTTGACATTGGAGTACCAATTATATATCGTCCGGTTTCTGACAGACTGGATTCTGCATCAAGGGCTGATTCATATGCTCATTGGCCAATACACACAAGCAAGGGAAGATGCAGGCACTGTGTAAACGGTACAAGCCGCCTGAAGTGCGAAAAATGTGATGCAAGAGTATGTCTAATTGGCATGAAGAACTGTTGTAAAATATTTCATACAAAAAATAAAATTATTATATTATCTTAAAATATGTGAAAAATAAATTCTATGAATATGTATTTCAATCTATTGAAAATATTAAGCTGTCATGTGCAGAAATGTATACATAATGAATTAGATACGTATGAAGGGTAATGCCAATTTAGTTGTCATTGTAACCATATGGTTACAACCTTCTGATAACTACAATCAATATGGATATACTGACACTTTCAAGGAAGTTAGTGAGTTATTTTTAATCATTTTCTGCGATTTGAACATTTTAATAAGCTTCTCTACTGTCTTGTCCAATAAGGGATTGAAAAAATATTGTAACCATATGGTGTCAAAAATCGATAAAGGGTTCACAAGAAATGAAAATTAAAAATTGAAAGATTCCAAGCCAAGTTACTACTACGTTTCGATTGTTAGTATCCACAATCGTCTTCGGGGATAACTGGACTTATTCCTCCGAGATCTGACTATTTATAGGTCATTCGAGTGCTTTCACCTACCACCTCTTTCCTCTCTTCGCTTCATCGGTCTTTGGCGGAAGCCAAAGACCGTTTGGCGGGAGTTGGTAGAGCTTAAAAAAACGTTATAAGCAGCAGTTCAGTTATCATTCTAGAAATAAGAAAATGCGTTTCGTTTTCAAACATAGGCAATGTGTGGGTTGCTATATGTGTAAAAAACTAAATAACTACTGCTGACGTAACTTAAACGGCCCTATACCGCTTGATTGTAATAGTTGTTTAAATTTTAATTGCACACATATTTTTCTAGGTGTTCCACATTTACGACTTGCAAGTCACCTTTTACAGACATTTTGATATCGTGGACAACAGAAAAGTGTGAAGACGAGAATCCATTAATATTGTAATAAACTTTTATCTGTATTTTTAAGTAATTGAATGACGAGTGAATGAGCTAAGCTTCAATTTAGTTATAATACCGTCATTATTTGTATATGCCCTATCGCCTATCAGCAATACCTGGTAAAGATTATATTATTTGTCACTATGCGATTGATTATACATTCTGATTAATGATAAACAATGATAACATTTTTTTCTGCTGTATGTCAAACATGGAAGAATATTTTTAGGAGAGTTTAGTTTTTAGGAAAACAAAAATTTTGGCTTTCTTCTTCTCCATCATCAAACCAAAAATTTTTCGAAGAAAGAAAGAAATCGAATAACTAGAGTAAAAGCTGTTTATGAAGATAGGTAGATTATGCACAGAAGTTTATTTCGGACACAAATAAAAAGTCTTCCCAAAAGAATTTCTTTTATAAGAACATCGAATTACACTAAAATCGATTTTTTCTATTCAGTTTGTACTTTAAACATTCACTATGGAATTTAAATATGTATCATTCATAGGAACGCTACACAACGTGACATATGAAAGAGTATTGATTCAAAATATTACTCACATAGGACACTACGTCCTTAATTGTGTACTTCGAAGTTTCGGGACAAGATATTTGCCTCATCATCTCAGCAGCATCTTTTTTGATAATATTACAAGACAAAGCACTCATTTCTTTCAGAATATTACGACTTTATGCCAAAAGAAGAGACAATTCTGCCCAAACCAACTCAATTGGAGTCAAATCCGGGTGATATTAATGTAATCGTACAACGTTGTGATTTGCTACTAGAAAGAGCTGATCTACTTTATGCTTCTTGAATTTTGGCTTATAATTGTTTATGACGGCATGCAATTTAGGTTCTCCAGCATGCTTTTTCCAAATAGAATATTCCTCTTTAATAACCATGATTGCGTATCGGCTCATCGGTCGATGTCGTTGACATTTTGCCGATTGGTTCATTATGATATGGTGCATTATCGATCACCACAACGCTTCTGAATCAACTGCCAACAGAGTATTTTTTCCACAAACTGTACTGACACGATACTCACCACTGAAGTTCCTTGAGTTCAGAGGTACAGCTAGATTTGCCAAGCCGTAAATCCAGTTTCGATTTCTCATATTGAAAAATAATGAAAGTTGGTTCTGGTCCTGAAAACAAAAACTCATCCATAAAATTATGTATTTACGTAGACTTCTCAAATGTCAATCTGATGAAAAAATATCCAATTCATAGAGGTGCAAGAGGTAAGCAAGTAGCAAGTATTTCGACAAAGAAATTACACAACATATGAAATAAAGAAAAACAATAGATAAGACAATCTCAAAAACATCCAATCTCTCATTCATTCTTGAAAGTTTCAAGATTTAGAGGAAACATTATTCATTCTAATACCATAGACCTGCAGTGAAACAGATATATGGTATTAGTTATCACATCATGTATTGCTGCTACACTGATGACAACACAGTCTAAATATTTCAATTTTTTTTAAATTCCCCTGTCTTGTGTCTTGCACTCTTTCGAAAGAATAAATTATATCGACCCTCTCTTCCAGTTATCAACATATCATCGTTAACTTAATAGTTCAGATCATTTTGGGTGTTCCCCTGGAGATGGTGAACAGATCTTGGAAGATATTACATCTCTACTTTCTGGGTGGTATCACAGGGTGCTTAGCTCATGCAATCATCGACGGAAATACCAGATTGGGGGGAGCAAGCGGGGGAGTATACGCCCTTCTAACGGCTCATTTGGCTCAAGTTATAATGGTATGTAGTCGAAATAGGTATTTTTTTACTCTCTAAAATGTTTGTAAAAAAATCGTGAATGGTGAATTGAGCTCAATATTTTTTCTTACAGTCCATGACTAGTAGTCTTTCTCTACCCATGAAATTATTCAATTGAATTAATAGGTCCATTATTAGAATAATCAATAATTATTACCTACCTATTTTGGATACCATACAAGAGATAGACTCGAATCTCAAGATCAGCCCCTATTTTCTAGATCATATGACTTTGCACATAGCTCAAGACCGTGTGACGTAAGTAAATGTCAATGTAATTAATGACATCATATTGGTGGGAGGAGACCGAGAACCAAGTATTTGTAATACCTTGGTTTTCGTGAATGTAGAAGCGTTAAGATGTATAATCTGACGATAAATACATCCTTGTACGAAACAATAATTTTCTGTAGATATATACTGTTTTTGCAAGTACGATTATGAAATAGAAATGTACTATTATAATTTATTTTGCCTTTCAGAACTGGAAAAACGTTACGGCGCCCTTTATTCAGTTCTCTCTGTTTGGAATTCTCATCGTTTGTGATTTAGGAACGTCAGCATACCAAAGATATTATCTCAATGTCTTTACATCTGTTGGAGTGACATGCCATGTAGGAGGAGCCGTGGCAGGATTTCTGGTTGGAATATACACACTGAGAAACATTGAAATTACCAAAGCAGAAAAGTACTTCTGGTGGATTGCTTTATTTTTGTATATAATATTGATGGTAGTGCTCATTGTACTTAATGTTATTAGATACTGAACAGGGTTGTGATGGAACTTCCTCGCTCCAAATGCAGAGCTTCCGCATGAAACGATCATCAATAACTGCCTCAGCATGTTTTAACGGAGTTTAATTGTTGCTTTTCTATGAAAGAGCGTACCATTCCGCATTACAAAACTATTGTTGAGTCTAATTAGCCACGAAATTGTCGTTTTTATAAATTTTGTCTATAAATAAAATGAATGATTGGAACTTTATTAATATCCATAGCTTTCTCAGAATCGCAAATGTTTTGAAAAGTAAATACTTATACATATTTCCAGCCGAAACATTTTCTGACGGTACTTTTTTTAGGTTTTGAGAACAGAAAGAACTAACTTGCCGAAACGTTAAGTCAATTTATTTTATTTATAGTCAAAATCAAATATGACAATTCAATTTGCCATTAAATTTTGTGTGAAAAATGGAATCAAGTTCTCAAAAACACATCACATCAATAACCGATGAAGGAGTAACAATAAGGAGTATTATCTTGAAGTTATACGCCGCTTTCGAGGAGCAATACGAAGAAAACGTCCGGTATTGTGGAAAAACAATTCATGGCTTTTGTATCACGATAAAGCACCTGCCCAGTCGTCACTGCTGGTTCGTAATTTCATTTCCAAAAACAACACTGTAATCATGCCTCTCACCGTATTCACCAGATTTCGCCCCTTGGGAGTGTTTCTGTGTTCAAAAACATACCAAAAAGTGCATATCAGAACTTTTTCAAGGACTGGAAGAAACGCTAGCACTAATGTGTTATATCTGAGGGGGGCTACTTTGAAGACATCAAAATAGAAATAAATATAAATGAATATTTTTTGAGAAGACAGTGTATCTTTTGCAGACAATTTCATGAGAAGCATGAATTTCTATGTTCTGTCTCCCTTCTATTATTATACAGTACTTTTTCTGAATATGTAAATGAGTATCTAGTACTAAACAACTGAACACAATCCTTACAAGCAAGAATTTTATGACGATACCTTTTAATCATATTTTATACATATATTTGTTTTCATACGGTATTTTGGCATTTTCAAAATTATTTTTGCGTTTGTATGTGTATATTGTATATAACCAATGTTTTTCAGAAAATGTGACATTCAAAATTTTAATTTTTTATTCTTATGGTAAAACTCTAGATATTTTTATTAATTTACTAGCTTACACTCTGATTTCATGTATTTGTTGACTTTTTTTCTCAAAAAAGTAATGTTCACCAAAGCTTNTCCTAATATCTACACTTTTATAGTAAATTATCACTTGTGCAGAGAAACAAAAATGATTGAATTGTGTTTGATTGAAGAGAACTTATAAAAAGACAAAGCATGCTGAAAAGTTTTCTTTGAAGTGTTTGCTATAAATTAGAAGAAAGTTTGAAATTAGTTCTCTTGCATTTTCAATAGCGGTATTCACTTTGTCTTAGTTTTTCTTGCAAAACAAAGTAGTAAATACCTCCACTAGACTTCGAGGCAGAGGATAATTCATCTTGAGGAAAACTAAATGAAGTAAATGCCAATACTTAGAGAAAAGGTACCATTGTCTATTGTCAAAAAACTCTACTGAGAATTAGTGTTTCTATTATGAATGGCTGAATTTACAAAACTTTACTTCTAAAAAATTGATGAAGAACATACTAAAGTCATAGTAAAAATCAACCATTAAGTCCACTCCCACTACTTTCATTCATCAATTCACAAAGTTCTCGATGACCTCAAAACGAAGTGTGGGCCAATTTTGTTTTTTTACCATAAGTGTGCGCTCATATAAAAACGAAATTTAAGGTTATTATAGAATATTTTGTGGTAAATTACTTATAACCAACTACAAAAACTAAAAACAATAACAGCGAATAAACTAAACACAATATTAATTTCCGACCGTTTATTATAACTAATCCGATATCCGTGGTACCGTCACAAATCCTTCGATATTACAGCACTGAACGGATTGAATGAGAATCTCATCCTAAGAGCGGTTGAAGGTCTCCGGCAACTCGGACGTATCACGTGGTTGTATTATTCTACTGTGCAAAAGTTACTTGTTCACATACCTGCAATGTGGCAAATAAATATGTTGTTGAAGAAATGTGCCTGTTTTCAATAACATCTTGCATAGAGCGCAAAGTTGAGCCAACATAGACAGCAACAAACTGAGCAGGAAAAAGGCCCAAAAGAGAAGCTAAATGGTATATTTTGGCACTAACGTTGCTCATCTGCAATAGCAATGGAATATTTGTTATTAAATATAGAATTATGTGTAATGTTTCATAAAGGTATTTAAATTGGTACCACTAAAATAATTGAAAAATTAGACTATATATTGCAGCAGGATGAAAAGTTCATTTCATACAAAATACCAATAAATTAGGTTTTGAAATGTTGAACAGTGTTGTCAATAAAGCTTAGGTTACTGAATATAATCAGAATGTGAAAATCATTAATAAAAAACTTATGCAATTTTTCCAAAGTGGGTTACAGACAAAATTGTCAACAAACACTAATAGTACTGCCAACATTTTTGTAAATATCTCAGAAATTAATTGGTGCATTAGACAGACTGCATGGCAATATTAAACCGATAAGGAATAAAAACCACCAAAAAATGTGAAACATGTAGATAATCGAACATACCTAGACTGTGAAATAAATAATTGAAAAATGAATACTACTCAGAAAGTGATAGAAAATACAAATTATTTGAGCAAATGGTCAAAGTAAAAACAGCCAATGCATTGGAATGCTGGAATTTATAACTTTTTTTCATATTTATATATTATACCTACAGCAAATATTGTATTTTGCAATCCAAATGGAATAGGAGTCAGTCTTGAACAGAAGACAATCTTGAAACATAGTGGACCAGAAATCACTCGCATTATGGCGAGGGCCATGTCATTTTGAGTATATCTGCAACACATTTTCAGTATAGGTATCAGATTTGTTGAAAAGTTCGTAGGCTAACGCACAGATGGCGTTACTAGTATTAAATCCATGATTTTTAATTAACCCTAACTTTCAAAAGATATGTGTACAAATTTCCCAGCTGCCGGACTATTTGTTTCTATAGAACATTTTGAATGAAATAACTTTTGTTACTTTAAAGAATAAAAAGTAATTTCGTGTTGATGAAGCACTGCATTTTGGCGAAAAAAATTACTGTTGAAGCCAAGGTTTGGATAAACATTTGTGATGCACTGTTTGAAACCTTTGGTGTAGTAATAAATATTACTGGAGTTCTATCCCGCAAAGTGAATTTGATAAGAGATAGCTGATGCTCTGAAAATATTAAAGGAACATGTTGGACAAATTGTGCATGGGTATCTGGGTGTGCGAAAGCTCTGTTCAAAAATCGTGCCGCTCGCGAGTCAAATCTCTCTTGCTTACTCTTGTGTCAAAAATAGCAAATTTATCTACCACATATCTGTGGGAAGCTGCTTGACTCCTCTCTTGCATCTAGCTGAATGACAAAATCCACCAAAAATTGTTATGAAATAAAATTTGCAACAAAAAGCATTCTTAGATTAAAAGAGCTATTGAAATTTGCTTAACGGGCATGCAAAGTATATCAGATTTCATACAGCAGAAAGGCCAGTATCACTCAACACCTTTGAGAAAGACAATTCAATATGTGTTTAGGAATTAGTTTAGATTATCTACTGGTAATGCCAACTTGGTTGGTGTTATATTCGTATACCAAATGTCATAATTTTATTATTGCTTTGGCAAGTTCCCTGTAAATTACAATAATACAAAAAGTTTTGAACATTCCATTTGGTATATTAAATCTATTAACTGATTTTTATTTGAATATTACATTGAAAATTGGTGTTAGGAAAAATGTAAATACTTACTTACGAATGCGATGATGATGGCCAATCACCTTCAAAATATTGTGAGCTACTAAAAGACCCAGGTTTGCCCCAAAAACCGTTAACATTAAACCTCTAGCTAGACCAAATAAATATCCTGTAGCAACAACTAGAACAATATAACCTATACTGATAGGAAGAGAGACAATAATGAAAAGAAAACAAATTGTGGTGGAAATCACAAACGTGTCTTGCTTCTCCAGCCATAGCAAGACAAACCTAATATAAGTTTTACAAAGTAAAAGGATACAAAGAATGACTGATATTGTACAGATTAAAGCTAGCAGTCGACATAATGACAGGAAGCATATCCTTGACCGTAATGTACTGCATTTCTCTTTTGGTTGGTCTATTTTACTCTCATATTCATCGAAGGTTATCTTCATTCTTCAGGTAAATAATTGAAACATAATTGAAAATCAAATGTTATCTATCCAGTTCTGTTATCTCTTAAAATTTTTGCTTCAACCGCTAATAATCAAAAACATGGTACTAACTGTTATTAATTACAGATTGCATAGTAGCACAGAAGAATAAACAAATCAAATCTGTGCAACTAATTAATTATTTACTGTTTTGCAAAAAATAATATAACCATACTTTTCTTCTTCTGCCTCTCTCTCTCTCTCTCTAAATTAGTTGGACTTGCTTCCCACTCGGGTGCATTTGTCCAGACTCCTCCTATCGAATTGACAGAAGCTTCGTCGTTTTATCGAACTTTTTATAATAAAAAACAGCCTGCTTAGGAGACCTTTTGTTTTTTCACATATATATTCATTGGGACCGCCCTCTTCGGAAGACCTTCAGATTTTTAATTTCACAAACGTGGCCCCTTTACGAGGTTATCTGAAGCCCCGGCCTGGATACCGGCGTGAATACAGGGGTCCTTATTCTTTACTTTTTTAAAAATTCACACACATTTCAGTAAATACCACAATGGACTAACAAAACTAAAAACGAAGCCCCACGATAGCATCTGGCATTCGCGTACCTTCTTTGTGGGCGGACGTTATCAGCATGTCCGTCCACTACCACGGCCACCACGAAACTCCTTCTGCCTCAAGATGCATAGAAACCCACAGAATATTGAAGTTCCGATATTCTGTGCCCCAATCACGAGTATAGAGCACAAGTATTTTTTTAACAACCTCCAACCTCCTGCTACCGGGGAAGATGTGCCTCCGTAGCTGATGTCCTGGAATCCAAATGGAATGACGAGACAAGTGAGCTGTCGTTAGTAAAGTAATATATTGGATTCTTGGTTTCTTCCAGTAAGTCGTTGGTATACAATAAAGAGAAGGTTAGAGACAATATGGATCTCGGGGTACACCAGCGTTGATGGTGAAAGTATTCGAGAGATATCCATCGATGGCCACTTGCAGGGAACGTTCTTTCAGGAAGGTAAAGAGCCATACACAAAAATGATGCGACAAGCCATAGTATAGAAGTTTGGCCAGCAAACCCTCATGCCACACACGGTCAAAGGCCTTAGAAATACCAAGCGCAACAGCTTTTGATTCTCCATGTTTCTCGATTGCTTTATTCCAAATATGGGTGACATACGATAGAAGGTCGCCTATTGATCTTTTTGTTTCCGAAAGTCATATTGATGATCGCTCAAGATGTAGCCTTCCAAATATTTGAGGATATGCTGGTTTATGATTTTCTTCATAATTTTTGATATCACTGATAGCAAAGCGACTGATGTATAGTTATTTGAAAGATTTTTCTTGTCCTTTTCGGGAATAGGCAGAACGCGAGCAATCTTCCAACAAGAAGGAAAAACCCCTCTCTTATAAGACAGGTTGAAAAGTCTGCAAAATACTGGTGCGAGTTCATTTGTATACTTTTCATGTACGATAACGGACACTCCATAAAGGCCAGACGCCTTATTGATATTGAGCTGTTTAAAATTCGCCTGACTAGACGCTGTCGAAAAGTAACTTCCGGCATTGGTGGATTCCAGTGTGGGAATAGTGGGTGGTGCTTTTCCCAGAAAATCGACTGTGGAGTGGGACGCAAATTGTTGAGTTAGTAGATTTGCTTTTTCTATGTCTGTTGTTGCAATGGAACCATCCGCTTGTGATAGTGGTGAAATTATGGATTTTGTAAAGTTCTGATTAACAGCTTTAGTTAGCGACCAGAAGGATCTAGACCCGTTGAGATTGGCAAGGAGTTTATCCCTAATTCTCTGATTGTGAAGTTATTTGCTTTCATTTATACTGACTTTGCAGTTATTGCGAGCATAATCAAACCTAGTTCAAGATTACTGGGATTTTGGCGCCACTGCCGGTAGGCTAGATTTTTGGAGGCGACAGCTTGCCCGCAATTTGTGTTAAACCAAGGTTTGCCGTTAGAAGGTCGTTTCATTGAGAAAGGAATATATGCATCCAGGGATGATAGAATAACTTCCGTGGCTTCGGAAGCACAAGTTGATTGATCTTTAGAGTTAAAACAAACATCTAGCCAAGGGAAATTTCGGAAATGGTCTTGAAGATACTCCCATTCAGATGATATGTAATGCCAAACTCCGCGCGACTTAGATTGTTCTAGAGAAAAGTATCATAATAGACTTCTAATATTTAGTCATGAGAAACTCACCAAACAATACCATTTGGATTCACTAGTCACCATGAGTCGTCTCTTACATTTCTGTGAAAGAATATTACCACAGATAAATGTAAAAAAGAATATTTGTGTCTACGGTTCCTTGTGGCAATCATCAATGTTTTCCTCAATTCTTCCGTTCAAATTATAGCACTAGATGTCACCCAGTTTATGATCCCGCGAATAGAAATAAAAGATGATAGTTGTCTCAAAAAATGTATGCCAACTATTTATGTTAAGAAGAAGAAATAATGCACCGAAATGAAGCAAGGCAAGAGAGATAAACAAATCTCACATATCTGTCAATTTAGATATAACCTCAATTTTTCAAATTTTCACGTGTTGTTTTTTGTGTAAAAATAATGGGAAGCAAACAAAAAATTGGGAGAAACTTGAAAAGAAGGATTACAGAGGAACCTGAAAAGTTAGAAATAGAACCGGAATCTGATGAGGTGAGACTAATATTACGTTAATTAAATCTATTGTTTTACAGTTATTGGGGTACATGTATCTTTTGGTAGTGTGTTTTTGTTCTGCAAAAATTTGCTGTGAGAATTGTCGCAGGACTGTTATATAGAGAGGAGAATCGACCACAGGCTTGTATCTCTATAAACTTTTTATATGACATAAAGACAAATTTTTTCAATAGAACAGATAATCAGTATGCCACAAGTTCCAGAAGTCTTGTGCCCAATTTGCATAGAACTAACCTGTTCAAAAAAAAGTCAATTATATTTGGGATGCTAAGTATTTAACCACCTTGATGATTCAAAAATCCCCAAACATTAATATTTTTAAATCCAGACTTCAAGCATTACTTATTGAGAAAAAAAAATTGTTAAAATATTGAATTTATGTCATAATTGTATCTACAAGGGGGTGTTTATTCAACTCCGACAATGGATGTATATATTTGTGCTAAATTGAATTAGGTATGACACTTTTAACGTTTCTCAAAGGTGTTCTTGTGTATCTGCTTTCATTTAGTGTTTTTAAGCATTTTCATAATTCTTTATTTTTATATATTTTGTTTAGTTTTCTCTTATGTTTATAATTGTGTAGTTTTGAAACTACTTTTTTTTGTTTATATTTTGATTATGACATTTTTATTAGTAATCGCTTACATGTCTTTATACACTTATGCATTTCAACTGGAAAATTAAGATTTGTCAATTATCAAATCTTTATTATATTTCAGGAAGAATTTTTAAAAATCGTGAATGGTGAAGAGGCAGATAGCTCAGATTCTGACGGAGAGGTAGAAGACTCTGATATAGAAGACGACTCTGATATAAAAAACTTTGAATCTTACGGAAAAAGTGAAGATTCTGAAGATGAAGATAACGAATCTGTTGAAGAAGAACCTGAAACAGGCTCTGACTGTATATCGACATTTAGTAGCGAAGAAGAAAGTGATGATGATGAAGATGAAACAGTCTACTCTGAAGAAGATGATGAAGAGGAAAGTGAAAACGACAAAGCTGAAAACTCGAAAGATGAGTGTATTGGTAGTGAAGAAAAACAAAATGGCAAGAAAAGTGACGAAAAAAAAATCCCCAAAGAAGGGGCAGCATTCCGAAAAAAAGAAGTTTTAGAAAATGATTTGAAAAAGAGAAAGTCTTTCATTAAATTAGGTGAAGGTATGTAATTGAATAGTGTAGGATTGAGGTTGGTATCTCTTTTATTCTAACTGTTTACGCAAAATTTTTTTGTAACTTATATAATTGTCAAAATTAAAATTTTATGAATTGAAGGGGTTATATATTTTTTCTTTCAGGAGGACTTTCTTTCAGTTTGTGTCTGAAAGTTACTTCTTTGTATGATATACACATTCATGTATAGAGTTTCAAATTGATTACTTCCTTCCTTTCTTTGGAAGATTCTCTCATCCCTTTTTTTTGTATCAGATGGAGTAGTAGAAAGCCAAAAACTTTCTTTCCCAAAAAAATGAAATTTTATGTTCTGAGCAACCACTTGATTTTGTTTTTCATATCATACCCTCAGATAAGGCCACAGCTGCTGTTTTTTTTAAACAATAGGTTCTACTAGCTTTACTGTTAAGCTGACAGAACCGAATCGAAATTTTGATCTCACAATAATTGAATTAAATATTTGGGTGACGAAATATTTCTACTTTTATCGTTCGAGTTTGACGTAGTCACTTAAATATTCAATTCAAATAAGTGATAAAAATTATTCAATAGGGTAAGGAAGAAATCCAAAATAAGCTTGATTTTATTGTAACTTCTAATATCAGCTCAATGGTAAAATTAGCAGTTCCCACAGATTTAAAAAAAGCAACACATTGAAAAACAGTAAAAGGAGCCTAAAGTTATGGTGAAGTCTGATTCAACAAATTATTTTTTCTGTGGTCGGGCTCTATTAATATAGCACAGATTTAACGTAAAATTATGGCCCTAAAAATAAATATAAAAATTCAAAGGTTTCTGCTAGCCTTGACAGCTCTTAAGAACTCTGGATTTTAATCTAACAGTCTGCTTTAAAATGAATTAGAAGAGTATCAAATCATATGTTGATTTTATTCAAAAAGTAATTTCGAAGTATCTAAGTGGCTTTATTATAATCTTAAAATATCGTTTAGGATATAAGCCCAGAAGAAGGGTTATTTTTGTTAAAATACAAGTTTTGTGAAGGATGAAAATGTATGAGATAAATGAAACAAAGTCACACAACTTGATTGTGACAATCAGTGTTGATGCCAATTTTGGGGTGTTGATATAGTGGATTTTATGACTTGACAGCCCCCGAAAGAGTACATTGAAATATGAGCAGAGGCCCCACATATTTGTGTGATGGGCCTATGTGTCTGCCTCTGCTTGACATATTTGTGTGATGGGCCTATGTGTCTGCCTCTGCTTGGAAAAACTTTGACTTCAAGTTCATAAGTTACAAGAAAAAATTTGAAATTTCTAATGATTCTGCATAAAAAAATATCACTTAGTCTTATGGTACATTTTAAAATTCCAGCAGGATCTCAAAATGTTCCCAAAAATGAATATGATGATCATGATACTTCAGATGAGGAAGATATTAGAAACACTGTGGGAAATATCCCAATGAATTGGTATGACGAATATAAACATCTTGGTAAGTTATGTTAAACATTCTTCATATATTTCATAAACTGAAAAACTTCTCTTTTAGGTTATGATTGGGATGGTAATCAAATTTTAAAGCCAGAAACAGGAGACCAATTGGATGATTTCCTCAAAAGAATGGAGGATCCAGATTTCTGGAGGACTGTGAAAGATCCACAAACAGGTCAAAATGTAGTGTTAAATGAAGAAGATATTGATTTAATCAAGAGAATAAAAGCACAAAAAATACCTGATGTAACATTCGATGAATATGCGGTAAGAAATTTTCATTTAATATCTACAGAAACAACAAAATAGAACTATCATCATACATTTCATAAACCAGTATGTTTATGCTACCTTTTAGTAGCTGTAAAGTACATCTGAACTCTCCTACTAACAATGGTTTATATGCATTCAATATGTTACTAACAACTTGGGAGAGCGCCTGTCAATTTTGGTTTTAAAAAGAATGTTTGCAAGTATCTTTTTTCATACAGGCTTTTTTTCTGTAAATTTTGTCAGTTAAAAAAGTGTTTTAATGTTTTTGTTATTCTATTTATAAGTTATCTATGTGCACGAATATGGATTGAATATGCTGAATATGTAGTACTAACATTTATGTAGCAACCTTGTCCATTTTAGTTTGTCCTTTTTTTAAGTACAAACCCAGGCTAGTTAGCATACCATACAAGATGACAGATTGGATTTGGGTATGGGATTAGCTAAATAGAACAAACTTTTCTACAGGACTGCATAACTGATATAAAGAGTTAACACATAAGGGCAATTTTTTACATATTTTATCAATTTGTATTTTCCGACTAAGGTTTTCAGAAGTGTTTATTCCTAGAAATTTTGTTGACTGCAGTGGAATTCTAAGATAGCTATTATATCGTTTGAGACGACAGTAGGAATTATAAGTAGACAGTTGGTATCTTTTCGTATCTCAAATTTTGGTAATTTCATCCGATAGGTGTATATGTGAATATTACTGGAGTTTTTTCCAATATTACTAGAAGATTAAGACAGTTTCAATCTTCCTGTTTGAAGATGATCACTTGGTGATTGAAACACGTGTCTAGGTGTTAAAAATAACGATTTGGTGTTGAGAAAAAACTCCAGTAATATTCATCACTACACCAAAGGTTCCAAACAGTGCATCATAAGGTGTAGATGTATCGTTTAAAGATTTCGATATATGTTTCTCTTTTAAATAGTACATGTTTCCCTTTTCAATCTTTCAAGATCCTAACCTGAAAACGAAATAGATTGAAGTATTTGTGGATGTTTTGTGATTTGTGTATTAGAAAAATAAACAACAATTATGCTGCCCATAGTTCACCAAGGAATTATGCAGAATAATCCACCTATAAGGCGATTAAGAAGACATAGATTCCAATTAAGGAATAGATACAATCCATTTGATCTTCCTGAATAAAGATTTATGGAATTGTATCGGTTAAATAAACATTTGACAAGATGATTGATAGCCGTATTAACCCCCCATTTGAGATCACCTCGCATAAGAGGAGGAACTACAATAGAAAGTAGGATATTTTGCGCTCTCCGTTTCTATGCTACAGTGACTTACCAAAGGGGTGTTGGTGAGGAAACTTTTTGCAGTTTGAGTCAAACTGCAGTTTATCAAGCAATACATGAAGTATCAATTCGAAATTTGAAGTGATGGGTGCAGAATATATAGTATTCCCTCAGAATATTCGGGAAAAGAATGTATTGAAAATGGCTTTCATGGAGAAATGGCAAAATATTAAACATAAAATTACTTATTTAAGTTGTTACCTAATATCACAATAGGTACTTAATATTTCTGTAATAAACAAAGTAAGTCACGACATGATTAGGCACGTGAACGCGTCAAAATGTCTTCGTCGCTTGTATGAATGAAATTCAACGCGCCGAACATGACCGCTCACAGCGCGGGAACTCCCGAATGCGGTTTCGGTCGTAGTTTCGACAGGTTTGCCGCCTTAACCGAAACTCGTTTTTTTGCCGAAACTCGATCGAAACCGAACTTTCAGTCGGGCACTACTTCAAACGCTCCAATAACGCTTTATAATATTCACTGTTGATGGTATTTCTCTTCTCAAAATAGTCGATGAATATTACACCACGCACATCCCAAAATACCGAAGCCAGAACCTTTTTAGCCGATACTTGTGCTTTCGGGCGTTTTGGACGAGGTTCACCAATTGCTCTCTGCTCAGATGATGATCATTTTGATTCCGGAGGGAAGTGATGGATCCATGTTTCATCCATTGTCACATATAGACGCAAAAATGTCGGTTTGATATGTTTAAACATGTCCAAACACTGGTTAGACTCAACAAGACGTTCTTGTTTTTGATCAACAGTGAGATCGCACGTCACCTACGTCAAACAGAGCTTTCTCATAGTCAAATGCTCATGCAATTTAAAGCCAACACATTCTTTTGACATCCTTACAATGTCGGCTAACTCACGCAAAGTAAGTTCGATCATTCAAAACGATTTTGTGTATTTTTTTCATGTTCTCTGGTGTTACTGCTTCTTTAGGACGTCTCCGCTGCGTTCTGCATCATCAGTGTCTCTATGGCCACGTTTGAAGTCAGCAAACCAACGTTTATTTGTTGTTTCTGATGGAGTGGGGTCCCTATAACACTCTTCAAGCTGTTGCTTTGCTTGACCGGCATTTGTTCCCATCAAGAAGCAGTGTAAAATTAAAACACAAAATTGTTTTTGATCCATTGTTTTAAAAATACAAAAGTAGTGTCACTCTACAATATACTAATCTACCCATTCATAACAAGGATAGTGCAACACTGAGTTCATTCAAATGCAATCTTTTGGGGTACATCAATGAAAAATAACCTTCATCTTGTATATGTATTATTGTTTCACAAACTATTGTATTTAATAACAGCAGATGTTCATTCATTCAATCAAATAATTATGTAATAGTTATTATTAAAATTTTTGTATATTAGGATTTCTGTTTCAAGTAAAGATTATTATTATTAAAAACTTATGAGTAGAATTGAATCTGTCAGAGAATTGAATACATATTTTTCCAGTACCTTGGCAAATTGATTTAGTAACAAAATTGACTGCACCTTATCTGTGTATTGCTTTAATTGTACATATTTGAGGTTTGTCTGGGAAGATACCTTCTTCCAGAAAATAATTTTTAAGAAATGCTCAAAACATTTAAATTTTCTATAATCAATTGATTAATTAAAGAAGAAAAGAGAAATGAAACTTTCTATGTTTTTACCCCTTTTATTTGTAACTAACGTTACTGCAGCTTTGTCCTATAAGGACATTTTCAAACTTATATATTGTATAAGTGTGAAAATGTCCTTATATATTGTATAAGTTTGAAAATGTCCTTATAGGACGAAACTGCAAGTGGTAAAAAACATAGAAAGTTCAATTTTTCTTTTCTTCATTATGATTTCCTACCACGTAGTATCGGCTACATCCATCAATTAATTGATTAATTAATCATCATCTCCATCACGAACGAGTCTCTGCGATCAGCTGTGATGGCGTCATGGCAAAAGAATTCAGAGTGGGGACGGAGTGAGAGAGTAATAGATAGAGAAAAAGTGAATAGAGAATAGAGGAATAGAAACTCGGGGAGGAAAATATAAGTATCACATAGCTGCACACATTAAACTTTATCGACGAATTTCGGCTGGCGGAAATCGTCAGATTATATATTTTTCGTTATCCTTAAAAAAAAAATTTGCTACGCTCGAGAACGTCGAAATGACGTTATTTTTTTACAACTTTGCTGCCCTTCCCTTTCTTTACCTCACTCTCAAATTGTCAGATTACTGGAATATACACTTTTTACTACCTTAATCTGACGCGCTCGAGAATTTCTGATGATCAATTTATTTTTATTAATCTGATCCTTTATACCTCACAGGCGGCCTTATATATGGGGCTCATATTTGGTGGAGGTACTTAACCGGGTACAAGGTATCCCCCTGTATATTAATCTGCCGCGCTTTAGTAAATCACGAAATCACCGCTTGGGTTCCCCTATTATTAGTTTTTGATTTATTGTTGAAATTTATCGGTAAATTACTGTTGGATATTTTCTTTGTTTGGTTGAAAACTGTTCTATATATTTAAAAGCCTCATTTGGAACTAATTAGTATGGCTGAGAAAAATTCATTCAAGAAAAATTGACACCAACTTCTGATTCATATTTACTTGTCAATAACAAATATGTATATTCATAATCACACATGTAGTACTACATTTAATTTTGGAATGATATATGGATGGATAATAATGATATATTTATTTTCTTCTCATATTAGAAGAGAAACTTTGTCAACAACTTTCAAAGGGATTGAGCTAAATTCGTAAATTATTTTTAGCCTTGGATAGAATGGTTCACCAGCAAAGTGGAAGAAATGCCTATCAGAAAATTCCCTGAACACAAACGATCATTCCTTCCCAGCAAGCATGAAGCTAAGCAAGTGTCAAAACTAGTTCATGCCTTAAAGATGGGCTGGATTAAGACTAGAGCAGAGCAGGAAAAACTCAGGGCGAAGAAGGAACCTCAGTTTTATATGCTTTGGCAAACTGATGATCAAGCTGAGGAAATGAGAAGAATTTACAAACACATTTCAGCGCCAAAGAGATTATTGCCAGGTAGGCTTTATATTTTTGTTTGAAGGGGTGCTCAAATATTCAATCTCGATCTAAAATATTCTTAAAAGTCAGATACATTTTTCAAGAAAATATATTTATTCCTCAGGGCATGCTGAAAGTTATAATCCTCCTCCTGAATATCTGTTTGACGCCAAAGAACTGAAACAGTGGAATAAGCAAAAAAATGCGCCATGGAAAAGGAAACTTCACTTTGTACCACAGAAATTTGATTGTTTACGGAAGGTACCTGCCTACCCAAGATTCATAAAAGAACGATTTTTGAGGTGCCTTGATCTTTATCTTTGTCCCAGAGCAATTAAGATGAAGCTCAATATAGAACCCGAATCCCTAGTGCCCAAGTTGCCCAGTCCAAAAGACTTGCAGCCATTCCCCACGGTACTAGCTCTTGAATATAAAGGTAAAATAATACTTCTTTCCTAATCACAAAAGTAGTTTTATCGCTTTCCTTTTATTAAATTCATTGTTTTTATTGAATTTCAGGTCACACCGATATGGTGAGAACCATAAGTACTGATAAAACAGGACAATATCTTCTTAGTGGATCTGATGATTGTACCATTAAGATATGGGAAGTGAACACTGGTAGATGCCTTAAAACCATCAAAACTGATAATGTTATCCGATCAGTTGAATGGTGTCCCAATTCTGCTCTGTCGCTTATTTTAGTAGCCTCAGGACAAGACGTGCTTCTTATCAATCCTCATGTTGGTATGTAAAAATTGGTGTAGATTTACGTATACATTAGGGTGGCCCATCTTATGTTGCCACCCCTTAAAAGGTTCCATTTGATGAAAAAACATCTCGACCAAAATTTTATTTTGATTTGGATACCAGGAAGTGGTGCCGCATGCAACGTTAATTCACCATCTTCCATCACTGTTGGCAAGCAAAAAATCTATAACACACTAGTGAGATTGTCAGGTGTTCAAACCAATGATACATTGAATTGAACACGTCATATAGACAACCTCCACACTAAATGTTCCTCAAACATCTATACTATTAGAGATTTGAATTAAACTGTCGACTTCGATGTTTTAAGGGCAATATTCAACGCAAACTTCTTTTCTGCTCTGCGTTTTTGAATAATTATTTGGGGAATAGTCATGAACCAAAAAGGATTTTCTTCTGTTGAAAAAAGTTATTAGAATTATTTTTCATATGAGCAGCAGACTTTTCTGTGTGGGAATTTTCAATTTCATTCATTAACGGTTAACACCCAATTAAGTTCAAAAGATTTCACAATAAATTATATGAACACAGACATAATAACATCTAACTTACTTGCTAAAAGTAAAACTAACTTTTAGATAATAAAATAACAGTGACAAAATAAATTTACTTATATGTGAGAATTGAAATAAAGATTAAATGAAAAATGAGTATATGAAGATTCAAGAATTGAGGAAGTTAATTTTCATATAATTTAAAGTTTTACATAATTGAATAAATAATTTTTCTGAATAGTTGAAAAAAATGTATGATTTATTTTATATGTATATACAAGGCTATTCAAATTCGTTTCTGTACATGGGGATCTTGTAAACGATAATAGATAGAGTGTCGGTTAAATTGTGGCAAAGTTGCGTATTTTAGAGACCTATTCAATGATGTACAAAATCGAATATAGCTCTTTTGGTTCTGGAGATATACCGGAAAAACCAAAAAATCCCAAATTATTTTTTGCCTATATCTTCTTTATTCGCAAACATATTGAAAATCTGTCCATATTTTGCTATTGGCACTTGATGTGGGCTATCAGAATATGTCCATGATTTTTTTATATACAGGGTGTTATCTAACTTGGGCCACCCCCATCTTTGAATTTTTAAATACGGACCTATATTTTTGTTGTAGTTTTTGTATCCTCGACTTTCACTTCATGCTGAGAAATTAAATTAAATTTTATATTTCGGGATGTTTTGGTAATATTTGATTATAATTGAGTGAATTATTCCCTTTTAAATTACGGCCATGGAAGTTAGTTAACTGAGTTGATTAAAAACACAATAGCAACTTTCACGTCTCCCTATGTACCGTAGAGTTTTTCCAGAGTTTTTTTTTCATTTTTAGGTACCTATTCATATTTTTTCAGTTGCTCCAAGCGTTTTCTACAATGAACTTCGAATAAGAAAACCTTTTATATGATAATCTGAAACATATCTACGTATGTGTTTCAATAAGCAGAAAAAGACATGATAGCAATAATAACATCCGAAACGAATACTATAATTGTAATGAAAAATGAAATGAAGTAATTCATATACACAAAAAAATAATGGCGCAATAAATGTTCCAATTGGAGTATTGTCCGTCCATTTCGAGACATTTTTGAATTCGGTTTTCCATATTATTTATTGCCCTTAATACACTTATTGCTCATTGTTGCAAAATCATTCAAAATCCTCAACCTTGAGTCTTTCACATTTTCTATCTCTCTGCGAGCGTAAATCCTATTTTTCAATGTTTTCCATAAAAAATAGTCCAAAATAGTAATATCTGGTGATCTTGCAGGCCATCTTATTGGCCCATTATTTGTCTTGAAATGGAAGGACACCAATTCGAAAAAAAAATTAAAAACTCTACGGTACATAGGGAGACGTGAAAGTTGCTATTGTGTTTTTATTTAACTTTTGCGAGCTAAGGACTAACGTGTAATTCCTAAAAAATCGATCGTTCTGCCTGCGGCTCGAACCACCGACTCACACATCGGTCGAATGAGTGAGTGAACAGAACACCCACGTCGAACCGCCCGGCTACCGGGCGGTTCGAAGTGGGTTCGGTTCAATAAAAGACAGGAATTGTCAGCTGTTAGGTGATTATGTTTATCATTCCTTGGATTATGAAACCATAGAAAAATTCTGAAAATCCAGAAGAAATTATCTAAGTCATTTCAATGAGAAACATATGATGTTTTGGGATAATGAGAAGGTTTTCAGTTGTGCAATATCTGGCGATTTCATGAAACATATTACCACTACTCAGTGGTAGCTTTAAAAAATGATACCCACTGAAATCTTACAATGTGGTATTGGGAAAAAGCTTTTTGGGTCCCACTTCTCCAGCTTCATATAAAAAGTTGTGGAAAGGAAGAAAGCAATTGAGTTCAAAATAAATATTTTACAAAGATGTGTAGATCATGCATAAGTTATTTTCCAGTTTTATGCCAGCATTGGTTGGCGCGGCTTCATTTCTTTCAATTGGATTAAATGACCTTGTTTGTGTATGATGCGTTGAGAACAACTCGAGCACATCGGCCATTACCTCTTCACCTTTGATAATGTTTACCACAGTAATAGACGAAACGTCAAACATGAAAACCTGCAGGCCATAATCTGCACACAATAAATGAAACTTGCTTGCATTTATCTGTATTTGAATTATCTGTTTTTATAGTAATATTGTTTTTCCACTATAATTATTTGAATATTGCAATAAACGCCACTATTACTGTAAAATGATTATTTTTATTTCAGATATTCTCTGATGATGTATCTATGAACTTTGTGTTTCAGATCATTCATATTGTTACAATTATTATTATTAAGAGGCTAAAACTCTTTTGTTAGGGCTTCTGTGAAATGTATCTACTTGACACGCATTACCTTTTAAGTTTGGATTGAGGCCACGAACCAGATGATGAAAGAATAATAAAAACTAACATCAAACCATTATCCTTGAGCTTTCATAAAGTTGTTCATTTTGATATTTTCTATTAATTTTTTACCTGAAATCAAGATTGTCAAAATATATAAGTAATTCCATTGAAAATATCTGTAATACAAACCCATATTTCGTTTGTCCAGGTGATTTCCTAGTGGCTACAAAAACTGACACTATCCTTCAAGAAGCTCCAAAAACTGAAGTGGTTGTGCCAGAACGAGTGCGTACTTCTGTCCAGTGGTCAGAACCAGACGACGACCAATACCAGCGAGGCACAAGAATCATCCTCAAGCACTTCAAGGAAGTGACACAAGTAACATGGCATGGCAAAGGAGACTACTTCGCAAGTGTAATGCCAGATGGACAGAATCGTTCTGTGCTCATCTCACAGATATCAAGGAGGAGATCCCAACTACCTTTCACTAAGTCTAAGGTGAGTTGTTCAGGTTCTACAACTCTTCTAAAAATATATTTTTACTGTTGAGGTATGAATTGTTCTAAAATGTTTTGAACTTTCAGGGTCTAGTCCAGTGTGTTCTCTTTCATCCTACTAAGCCGTTCTTGTTCGTAGCAACTCAACGCCACGTAAGGATCTATGATCTTGTGAAGCAAACTCTCATGAAGAAACTTCTGACTAATTCCAAATGGATTTCAACCATGGCAATACATCCCTTGGGAGACAATTTGCTTGTTGGCACATATGATAGGAAGATGCTTTGGTTCGATCTGGATCTGAGTACAAAACCTTACCAGACATTGAGGTTACATGGGACTGCTGTAAGAGGAGTGGCATTCCACAAGAGATATCCCCTCTTTGCTTCAGGGTCAGACGATAAGAGTCTTATCATTTCCCATGGAATGGTCTATAAGTAAGTGTCTGTGATTTTTCATTAGAAAAGACATGAAAATAATGTTTAATATTGGTCAGTAATCTGATTTTTCATGTCAATTCATTTAATTTCTCAAAAAATTCAACCATAACAGATAACATATTCATAATAATAATACATCTCCAAAACTGGAACAGGAGTAAAATTAGTGTGATGACTGTGCCGAGGAAAGAAGAAAATGAATATTTCGAATAAAAATTCAGAACATTGATCTTTGTAACAATCCTACAATGCTTCTTCAGCTATACAGAGCGGACGAAAATAGTCCTCTTCCCATCTTAACTTGTTGATTTTATGACAATTAATATAATTTTTGAACGGTGCCAGATATCGGACATAATTTGTATCAAAAAGGAATCATTTTCAGTAGTTTTGATAAAAAGGCATGGACATCACTCACCACAGAGAAGGCGCTATTAACTTTGTTTTTTCAAATAGAAGGGGGGTCTTGTAATCCTTCACTCGAAAGCTATTTCAACCCTCTATACAACAACCTTCACTGTTTTGAATCTGGAAAACTGGTTTCGGAGTTATTGGTGTATGATTTGGAGACTAGGAAAAATGATAATTCTCAACTCTGCAACCAAAAGAGGACTGAAACTGGTCCAAAGTTAGTTATCACATGTTACACAAAGAAAAGATGTTCAATGCAAAATTGCAAACAACTGAAAGTGTGGTGGTTGACAATGTTTCGTGGTGTATTTCATCAGTTTGAACTTCCATTGTCTGATATAATATAAATTGATTTGAAATCCCTTAAAAGAAATAAATTAAAAAGATAAACCGAAAATAATAATTTTATTAAGCAAAAAACATCCGAACTGATGAAATAAACTGAAGTTTATTTCATCAGTTGCAACTGGACAAGTTGCAAAAAAAACTATCTCTGATGAGAAACAGATAGAAATCGTTGTGACTGTAGTGAATAACCACCTGCCAAAAAGTTGGTCAGACACAAACACACACATTTTTCGAGAAGACTGCACTCAAACTCCTGAGCAAATAAATGTCTGGGCAGGAGCGGACTCAAGAAATTGTGGCCAACAATCGAGAATTCAAAAATCTTTTTTTTTCCAACAAGATGGTTCACCCCACATTTTTTAGGCTTGTAAGGGATCGGTTGGATCAGATAACCCAGGCATGTGGATTAAGCACAATTCGTTGTAATGGCCTTCTCGTTAACCAGATTTAATTCCATTCTATTTTTTTCCTTTGGGTTCATATCAAATAGAAAGTTTATGTTATGCAATCTAGGACAATACGGAAACTTACAAGCGCTAGAATTACCTAAACTTGTGCTACTGTTTTACTGTCAGGCAGTTCAAGGAAAACATTTGCTCACACGATTTTTTTATGTATAAGAGAAATGATAACGAGGTTTAATAAAATGCTATCTATATATGCCCTCGAAATTAAAACTTATCAATTGCAAAAGATGGTACTAATTTATTGAACATTTATTTCGATAAACCTGAACATAGGATGGCGAAGTTATGAAATTTCCAGCCCCGAATTTAAACGCAACTGGTTATCGAAATAAAAAAAAGGTCATTGTATACAGAATTGAAATAACTTTTATATGAAATGTTACGAGATTTCCATATGATAAAAAAGTTTATAGTGGCTAGTGATGTCACACTATTGTTTTTTTTTATTAAAAGTACTAAAACAATTACTTTTCACAAAAAAATTGGGTTGAAATCCAATGTCTTGCCCGATTGGAAAGTTGAAAGGGGAGTAGACTATTAAAATCCACATTGCATGTATATAATAAATAATAAAATATTTGCTATTGTCTTGAATATGACATTTAAATTGATTTGTAAAAAATATAAAAATACTTTAAAGATTTATTTGTCTTTGTAGGTACTGATAGATTATATAATTATTCCTACCTGTTTAACCAAACAAGTTGGAATCGAAAGTAGTTTAAATTTATCTTTTTTTTTTCCAGTGATCTCTTGCAAAATCCCTTGATAGTTCCATTGAAACGACTCCAGGACCATGAATCATTTAATGACTTTGGCATTTTTGGGGTACATTTCCATCCATTACAGCCATGGGTATTTTCTTCAGGTGCTGATAGCACTATCAAGTTATATTCTAATTAGATTGTTAAAATTTTGAATGTTTGATGAATATATTAACTAATAATTTAATTGGATATTTTATTAAAAAGTAGTTTGTTTAATTGTGATGTCCCCAGGTTGATGCTCCATTGATTATATCAAAATCTGCAAGGTAATTATTTTTCATGAGAAAATTCCACATTTAGTTTAATGGGTGACCACGAATTTCTCGGCCAGGTTAAAAGAATATTACTAGAGTTTTTTCCCCAACACCAAACCCTTATTTTAACACCTCGACACGTGTTTCGATCACCAAGTGATTATCTTCAAGAGGAAGATCAAACACCAAACCGTTATTTTAACACCTCGACACGTGTTTCAATCACCAAGTGATCATCTTTAAGAGGAAGATCAAACTGTTTGATCTTCCTCTTGAAGATGATCATTTGGTGATCGAAACACGTGTTTCGAGGTGTTAAAATAACGGTTCGATGTTGGGGAAAAAACTCCAGTAATATTCATTACTACACCAAAGGTTCCAAACAGTGCATCATAATTACGATAGTTTGGATTCCGACCTGGCTATTCTGTCGAAACAGCCTCAGCAGATCTTGTACAATATATACATGATAGCATCAACGAAAATAAGCTTGTGGTTGGACTATTCTTTGATCTGTCTTGTGCATTTGACACAATCAACCCTAGGTATCTACAAATAAAACTGAAAGCTCTAGGCATCCAAGGTCCAATTTAAAAATGGATTGAGTCATATATGTCCAGTAGATCTATTAAGGTGCAGGTTGAGAAGCAGTTCTCCGAAAATTTTGATATAAAGATTGGCACACCCCAAGGTGGGGTTCTTGGACCACTGCTATTTCTGCTGTATGTCAACGACCTTCCTAACCACATCAGTCAAGGACTTACTTTCGTACACGCAGACGACACAACAATCGTTGTTACAGCTGAAACTATCAATCAGGTACAGGCCAAAATAGATACTGTAATAAAAGAATTTACATACTGGTGTGAAGTAAATCACCTCATCAATAATACAAAGAAAATGGTCTCCATTGAATTCACTAGTAACCCCCCTTTTTTTTTCACTTAATTGTTTATAACTTTTGTAATTTTTATCGGCGCGTTTTCGGACCTTTCCTTAAACTTTCTAGGCAAAAATACGAATCGATTGACACCTTGGTCGTAATTTTTGGACAGGGCTGGAAAATATCACCAAAAAGAGCTAAATCGAGTACATGTGAACCAGACTACTATTCCCACACAGGATTCCACACTGCATATTATAATATAGGGAACCCGACTCTCTTCGGTTATCTGAATTTGATGTACTTGTAAATTCATCTATCATTGAAATAGTAATATGGATGTATAAGATAAAAAATATTTTTGTATATAATACTTGTATATTTACGACTGAATACTGTATACAGTGTCTAAGTCACAAGACATAAGCATTCTATTTAACTAGAAAAATATATTATAGATGGCACTTTTACACATAATATATTTTTACAAAGGGAAAAGGAGTTGGAAAACAAACAGAAAAATAGCTGCAAAAAATACTTTCAAGACATAATTTTCAACTTAAGTACACTCAGAGACAAGGAAGTCAAGAAAATAACTAATCTACGAATCATGATACACAAAAAATTATAAACTAAAAAAATAATTTATTAAAAAAAATGCTCGATACATTTCTCGATTACAAAATTTGTAAAATAACACAGAATAAATCAGACATTCAACTTCTATTCTATCATCTTATTTAGCTAAGTCTTATAGAGTATCGAGATTACAGAAAATATAAAATTGTTTGGTTATAGGTATAACATATTTTCTATAATCTCTGCTTTTCATAGAATACGATTGTTCAATATTTTTTTACAAAGAATAGAACTCTGGCACCTACGTGGTGTCTCTGTTTTCATCATAAAATCATGAGAATGTGAACACTCTGCTTCCAGAGTGTCCTAACGGGATCCAGAATTGCTGATTCTGTGCCAAAAAAATTAACACATTAAACGAAAATTTTTAAAACTTTCGCAAATGAATTCGGAATTTTAAAGAAATTACAATAACATTAGAGCTTTTGCCGTCTAATGAAAGCCTTCAATAAAATTTACTAACTTATTTGCATCTTTTACTTATCAACAAAGTAAAATATTGAGAAGGAAATATTTCTTCATCTTCATACAAAAAATGTGGAGAACTTCCAAAGAAAGGAAGAAAGCAATTTTTAAATAAACTCTACAAAGATGTGTAGATCATGCAAAGAAATATCTTTCAGACACAAACTGGAAGAAAAAACCCTCCCGAATGAACTACTTTCCGGTGAGCATTGATTCACACGAAAGAAAAAGTATTTTTGAAGCAACTATTTTTGTATAATAATAAATTCATAACAAGAAAACTACTGAAAATCAGATAATTAATATGGGTATATGAAGATACCCCTCGATGAGAGGAATTTATTTTAACATCATGGTTTGGATGATCCTATTCATTACAGAATTGAAATGAATTTTAAATGAAATCATGCAGTCTTGGATAGCGTTTCAAGTATTACTTTATTAATTTTCTCAAATCCTTGCCAAAATCATTCAAAAATGTCAGTTGATATCTTTAAGATGTATGGGAAGTAGTGAATGCCACAAAAAAAATGACAACATTTTTAAATATAAATGCTAATTGATGAAAGATCTATTCAATAAGTTCTTTATACTCTGTATTCATATTGGTCTGATATAAATGAAAATTTACCTATTTGAAATTAACATAACAATTATGTTTGAGAAATTTCGTCGATATCAAGATCTTTCCGCTTTTGAAAAATCTATAAAGAAAATTCATGATTTGACATATTCAGCAATTCTGGATGGAAATTCCTAACCTAATCCGTTTGTTACTTTTGTCTATGAGGTGAGTGCGGTTTCTATGACAAAGTATACTGTACTGGATAAAAAAAATAATCCATTTTATATCACTGGTAAAAATTGCATTTTAAAATTAGAAAACGTTTTACAATTAGACATTCCACAAAAAATAGGCTTTATAATTATCGTATATATTGCTTGGTGTGGAGGTGGGTGCTGCCACTCAGAATCAGTCAAATACTATGAAAATGACAGAATTGTTTCAGGTCATAATTAGAAAGTTAGATTTACAATTTAAGTAGGGGCTTTTATAATCATTTAGTAGCAAATATTTATTTTATAATTGTTTGTTGATCATTTTATGGAAGTCATGTGACAAATTAACTATCATTTCTACAGTCCACACATTCCAAACAACCACTGCCCGTTAAGAATTTTTTAATGGCACCTGGGCACTTATGAGAAAATAGGTAAGAAAAGGGGACCTAAATGGATTTATAAGAATCCACTTTCAAGTTGAGCAACATCAAAAGGAGCTAGCAGTTGTATAGGAAATGAGTTCTTGAGCTGACTTGTTAATTATCACACATCAAAAGTAAAGAGCTCGTTCATCTTTAGCTTTTATAAGTTCGGACTTTTGATGGCTGTCGTTTATATGCGTACGCTGTTTGATGGAAAACCAATTTTCCAAATCAGGACAAGCACCTCGGCGTCTTAGAGGAAAAACAAATGAACATTTCCTGCACACTTTCATAACTTTAAACTAATTTCTGACCATTTTAGAACAGTTATGAAATTGTTTTTTGATACCAAGTGTTGTCAAACATTGAAATTGTTTATACTTTACTGACGACAGCTGTTAAAACCCAAAATATGTGCCTGTAAATTCTTTTTTTATATATATGATAACTTCTTATTGCAGCAAGTGAGTTGCTAATTTTAATATTATTAGAAATTACAGCTGTATTTACCCTTGAAATATTCTTATTCTTCGCCCACTCTCCCCCACAAATATAAAATAATAGTAGGGAAGAGGGGAAGATATTCAATTATATATCAAGTCAAATTCATGCATCCGTACCTGGATTTGATATATTTCCAGACTTGTACAATTTTACATAATAGCAACTGCTAACCAAGTCAGCATCATCGGGAGATGACAAACTTAAATTTTTCATGGCCATCTAAATGTTTTTATATTAACTGCATCATCACCTGTCATAAATAAAATTATTTCCTAATGTTAGTCAATAACTACCTCTTATGATACCTAGTTTTAACCCGATTTTTACTTGTAATTTTTAAATATATGAGTAAATAACAAAAGACTGTTTGGAATGGGACCTTTGTTGCTGTTTATAGATCTCATTACACATTTTTCGATTTCTAAACTTTGGAAGTAATTTAAAAACGCGTCCTGTCAATATGCTGGTCTCAACAGTTTCAAGCATTCCTCTTATATGCTGTGGCCGTTCTCTAAAGCATGTTAAGCCTCATTAGACTCCTCTGGCATATGAAACCAAATTGATGCCTTCGAAAGTTTAGCATTCCAAAAATGTGGAGTGAAATATATGAACGACGTTTAAAACAGCCCTTTGTTTAATCTCGTACATAATAATTTTCAGGTAGAAAACAGGTAAATATTAGGTATTATGACAGGTAGCCATTAACATTAGGAACAAAAACAATATAAGGCAATGAAATTCCCACATTTTTTTTGTATGAAGATGGAGGTTAGTTAAGGTTAGGTCCAAAGTGAGTGGGTCTGTTCGACCCTCCACCGCAACCCGCAAGGGTTTATTGTGGCTCACACTTATTCACACTCGGCCAAATAAACCCAGCTTCTTAACGAAGCCGATTAGTTTGTATGGTGAGTGGTCTATCAGGTCAGAAGGTAAGAGTACGGCTCTGCCGAACTCTAAAGATCTGATTCGTACCCCAGCGGGGCAGGCACAAAGTATATGCTCTGTTAATGAGGTAGTCGGATAGTCAAGTTGCAAGATTCCCACCTTGATACCCACGACAACCTTCCCATATGAGGGTTTTGGCACGTTAGCTACACCTGACAATGCCTCAGATTCAGCCGTGCAGGGCTTTTTCGCCTCTGGTTTTGGTGAATCAATACTTTAGCGCAAATGTTTGCTAACCTGCTCGTGGGGGGGGAGGGGGGGTTTGTTTCCCCACCTGGGACAGATTCTGCGTACGCCGCTCAAGAATTTGGTGCAAGGCAGTTTTATAAGGTACCCCGCTCCTGAGGAGACGACTCAATCGTTTCCTGGCTGCACCACCAAACCTTTTTTTTAAGGTTCAATTGTTGGATCAGGAATTGACGAGTTGAGAAGCTCTCGCTCCTGAACTAAATTTACAGGGAGGTCATGAAGATGGAGAATAGAAAGCCAAAAGCTTTTTTCCCCAATAATACAACAAGTTATGCTAAGAAATATTTCAATTCAAATAATTCAGTACATTTCCTGGGCAGATTCAGTCGATATAGAAATAAAGTTGGAAATAACGACGTACGTTTCGGCATTTTTGCCATCTTCAGATTATAAAATATTATTAAATTACAAACACAAAAATGTACAATGGGTAACTTCGCTTACTATATATATTTCAAAATTTTAGTGATAAAACTACACTATCACAATCAGTGCAGGAATGAAATTCATGAAATTGAGTCATCGTACAGAGACGATTAAAATAAAATTAAAAAACATGAAAAAATATATGACGAGGTTTGAAAAGTAAGACGCAAAACTTTGTATTGATTTCAAAAGAGGAAGGTTGGGCTATGTTTATCAATTGTGTGGAAGCTATTTTCCGGATTTTATGGCCGTGGTCTGCAGGTTTTTGTGCCTGACGTTTCGTCTACTACTGCGGTAGACATTATCAAAGGCGATGTGGTAACGGTCACAGTGCCTGACATGGTGCTCCTGTTGTTCTGAACGCATTTACTATGATACTTGTATTTGACTCTGGTTTTATATCATTAGTAGGCGTCACAAGTCAATGTGAGATAAACCTTCGACAATAACAATAACTCGATGAACATAGCCTAACCTCCATCATTTAACATCAGCTTTAGAACCTAAAAACGGCAAAAAGGCAGAAACGTACGTCGATATTGTATTAATAAAAATTATATAGCATTAATTTTATTTCGATATCAACCGAATCTACCAAGGATATCTACCGAATAAAGGAAAACTTAGTATTAATTTAAGAAAGGCGATGGTCCGTCTGGATTATATGAAAACATTAAGATAACCATAAAAGTTCAGTTTCAGTCAAGTGTTGAAATGTGTTTTTCAGTTTATCGGCCGATGTCTCCTGAAAAGTTGAAATTTATAGGAGCCAAGGACTAACAAGGCCTAACCGTTTAACGTGTGATTATTATTACCAATCAAACGATACGACATATACCAATACGAAATGATAAATATGGTAGTGACTTCTAAAATTTTGATTTTCCCCCTCACTGGTTCTCAATTAAAAAATAAATAACAATATTTTGAGTATTCTGATAGTCTGGGATCACTGAGATTGATAACCTAGGGGAATTTTTTATTCTTTGCTTCTAGTAACCTCATGAAAATTGACTCATCTATTATTTTGACAAATACTGATTTGGAAGTTGAATTCCTGATTATTGGTTTGAGAGACATTAATTGAAATCTATCAGTTTGACATTTCTTTTGAAAGGTTTTTTTAAGATATATGATGGAATTGGCCGGTACTTTATGAAAATCCACAACTAAAGAAAAAATGTTAAATGAAAATCTCACAATAAAGGATTTTTTGAATACGTTTTGTGAAGAATTAAGATTGGATTTCAGATTATTATTTCATTTCTTTCGACAAAAATTCTACATGAAAGATAAATCAGTCATCGATCATTCTTGTCGTGCACAGTCAAATCTGATATATCTGCTTGTAGTTTTTGGCACAAGATAAGGAAAAAATTCTTGTTTGCACCTTCTGTTTGACTTGACGGTATAATTCGAACCATAACTGGCGTTGCCGTCAGAAGAAGGAACCGAACCGCCTGGAGTTAAAGACAGCAAGTACAGGATGGAGAATAATTGGTTTATTAGGCCAATAACCTCTTGTCTGTCACAGATCATCGCATAGTAGTTCCTCCACACTGGTAATTATAAAGGTAGGTGCATATTTTGACTTCGGTGTATTTGGTAAAAAGGAATCCGAGGAATCGGTTGTGCATTTATTGGAATTCAAACTAACAAGAAAATATTTGGAAATATGCAAATATTTGCATGGCCGTCAACCCCCATGGCATAATTACCAACAAGGGGTGGAGCTCCCAGAGGAACATGGTATTAACGAAGGTTACCTCTTAACAAAATTCGTAGAGAATCGTTTGTTTGGATCGTGAGAATGGCACAAAAAATTAATTTGAAGTAAATCGTATCTTTCAATTTTTTCAAGTTTGTTTTTCATTATTTTTTTAGTTATTTTCATTTGGATTACATTTTTTAAGTGCCAAGAACTTTATTCATCTCAATGTTTCAAGCTTTCAAGATACAGTTTTTTAACATTTCTGTCTATTTTCACCTATAAATCAAAACCATTTTATCTCTGTATGCAGATCAAGTTATGAATTTTCTATATTCCATATAAATATATTAAGTTATCATTTTTAGGTACTTGATTTTTTACAAAATATATTATTTGTATATCATTGTAAAGACTACTATTTTATTAGTATTCATGGATTCAGAAATTTCTTCACAGATGTTGCACTTTCAAAATGGAAGCCTGGATATTTATTTTGATTACAACATTAATGTTCTTCAAATATATGGCTACAATTTGGTATCAAGAAAACCAATGAAAGTCAACTTGGTGGTTTAATTTTTCTCTAGGAGTCATAACCTAATCAGTTCAAAATACTTTTATGGCATTAAGAGAATGGCAGCACATGTAGAATAAAATTCGTTTCAAAAAATGCAAAAAATACTAAACAATTACAAAAAATAATCTTCCACAAAGACTAGTATAAGTTTCAAATTGAGATTTTCCACAGGCATAATATCAGAGAAAATTTGTACAAATATTAATCATCGGAGTGATTTCTCTAATCACATACTTTACTAACAATTTCCTGACCTACAAAACTTTTCATTCTACAACTTCTTGATTAAATTTATATAAGAAAACATTTAATGAAGTGTAAATACATAAAAAACGAAAAAAGTACGCAAAATAAAAAATAAACAAAAATAAATAAACTCATTTGGCAGCAAATAATACACTAAGTACTTACACAAAAAATGTGTCAAATAATATCGACAAAATTCAAAAAATGGAGATCTTCGATTCAGCCTTACCTACTATTAAAAAATAAATTAATTAAAAATGGCAATTTCATTACACAAAAATGGCTTGAGAGTAATAAGTGAGAAATACAGTCCTAGATAATTCGAAGGAAATAAAAAATGAGTTGAAATTTTCAAGTTAGGATTAACCTATTGTTTGAAATAAATAAAAATTCATCATGCAAATTGTAATCAACAAAAATAATTATTTGGCACAATGAATGAAATATACAGTTTTAGACATATTGAAATAAACAAAGATCCTTTGAACTACCTCAGACCAATCACTAGTACTCAAAAAAAAAAACAAAAAATAGGACTTAATACAACAAAATGGCAATCATTTAATGTTTCTCGCTTTCCATGAAAACAACCAAAATCCTTATTATTTTTGGTACACCACAACATCTCTAGAAACAATTTACTTATAATATTTTGCGAAAATTGAAAGAAAAAATCTTTTTGCTTTCCGCCTGTCTGAGCATGATAAAAATTTCATATAAATATTCTAATATTCATGACAGAAGCTTCTGCTATTTACCAGCCCAATTAGGTCCTAGCAAAACAAAAATAAAAAGGATAAAAAGGCAGTAGCCATGTAAAGTGATGCAACCCTATATACATACAACCGGGATATTCATCTTAGCTCACTGGGTAAAGAAACTACAAGATACATCTATTTGAGTTTAGAAACTCCGAGGGCGGGTAACTTGTAGTGGACGATATGGTAAGGAGGTCCTATAGGGCTCGCAGGGGAATTATAGGACGTAGTTAGAGGCACAGCCCCCATACCCATTCCCATGGGTCCCGCACACGCCCTACCTCTTTTACGCCTTGGTAAAATTCCTTTTCGAGCCATGTAAAAACGAATTGTTGAGATAGGTATATTAAACTGATCGCTAACAGTTTGGAAGGTCTGCCCACGAGTGATACACTCTGCTGCTCTTCTCAGTTCCTCATCTGATCTGCGGATTCTTCTATTTGCTGATCCTGAGTCATACATTTATTTTCATATATACTCTCAAGTATTTTGGAACATATGCTTACTTACCCTGGTTGGCATCATACTGACAGGATACATTTGCAATTGCAGAGAATTGTGGTTTATTATCTGTATTAACCGTGCCATCTTCTTCGGTCAGCTCTTGATCCATGAGTTCAGTTTCGCCGTAATACGATTCATCAGCTTCCTCATCTATATCCTCTGGAAACATCAAGAAAAAAATATGTAATTGTCAAAAGTTGATTTCAATGATTTTTTTGTCATCAATATCGCCTTGAAGTTCTAACGACCTTAGGGCTTATTTAAAAATTAACGACATGAATTCAATCCAAATGTCAATTTGATAACTGTTTCAAAAAGGGGCGATCCCAACAAAGAGATTTCAGGAGATGTTGATTTCCTCATTCTTTTTTTGAATTTTGTCACCTAGTAAACACCTTAGTATATCTATTTATATAGCGGTAAACATATTTGATAAATCAATTGAATCAACTTATAGTTGAATAGCCAAATGTCAGGCTACCTTATTCTCCTTGACTACATTTAACTTTTATTTTATCAGTGGTAATCATCTCACAGTAAAAGTATCACTTTCAATAGCCAAAACATCTTTTAAGAACTAAATATGTCGTGTGCTAAAGCTATGATTTGGGTTTATAGGTCGTGGTCTTCAGGTTGCATTCTTGTTCGTTACCTCATCATGAGATAACGAACAAATTGCTCTGTTGTTCACATTGCAGATACTACATTAATGGTAGTTATTTGAAAGATCTGATTTTTTGAATTAAATGGCCTGATACTTGTGATGTCAATTTCCCCTTCTTTTCTTTTATTTTGAATTTCTGTCACCTCCCCATATAGTCTGGCATAGTAGCTCTGAATTCTATAGATTACTTGGTTTTCTTTAAATTTTATCTTGTGGTTGCCCTTCCAGAGAGCACATTCCTTTACTGCTGATTTGTCAGTATATCCCAGGCGACCATTTCTCTTGTATAGATCCGGATACTTACACCTCTTGTGGTTCCAATAATAATAATAATAAATCTTTATTTTTCAGTTAAAAAGCATAAATGCATGAGTACATTCCAGCAGTAACTGACAAAACGTCATAATTAATAAAGAAATGAATTCAAATGATATGAACACAGTCATAACGTTTGTTTGAAGGTGATTGACAATGTTTCGTGATGAATTTCACTAGTTTGGACTTCCATTGTCTACTATATAAAATGATTTGAAATCCCTGAAACAAGTAAAAAAACTCTAAGTCTGGATTTAAAAATATTAATATTTGGAGATATTTGGATAGAGACGTCGAGGTGATTAAAAACTTTGCATCCCAAATATAAGTAACTTTTTTGGTATAGGTTAGTTCTATGCACAGCAGGCACAAGAAGATTTCTGGATCTAGTGTCATATTGATGATCTGTTGTATTGAAGAATTTATCTTTATGTTTGTATTAATATATATACACAGTTCATACAGATACAAGCCTGTCAAAGTTAAGATCTTTAGTCGCTTTAAAGCCTCTCTACATGACTGCCTCCAATTTAGTCCTGCAACAATTCTCACTGCAAATTTTTGCAGAGCAAAAACACGTGACCAAGAGATACAAGTACCCCAGTAAGAATACCATATCGCAGATGACAGTTGATGTTTGCATAATTAACAATTAGTAGTATGTTTTCGTGACAATGATTTGATAAGAACTTTAACGCATAACAATTTTTTCTTATAACATTTTTTTTTTATATAGGCCAACCCACAGCTGCAAGGTTCTCTACTAATGCAAAAGATTATTTGTGGTTCAATTTCACATTATGTTTCTACAGAATTCTCCCAATCCGATACGTAACATTATTTATATAGGACAGGAAAGTTTTTACATTACCAGACTTACATGAGATTACCTTGGCATTTTTTTCGTGGGTTATTTTGCCCACGGACGATTCAAGAAAACTGACAGTAAGGACTCATTCCCCATAAACTTAAAAATGATTCGAGCAATACAGTACAAAACTTGTACACCGATGCATCCGGACATTCTCAAAATAGCTGGTCAGGCCCATCCACAAAAAATCCTCAAAACGACCCATTACATTTTCGCCCAATTGCAATCTGACATTTCCTGGAAAAATTTTTTGAAATTCTACTGGGAGTTCAGCTAACCAAATTTATGAAAAACGATGAATATTTTACTCAGGCACAGTGCCAGCCTTTGAAAACGAGTTCACTCACGTCTATTTGATAGACCTTACAGAAGCCTTTGATTGCATAACCTTCTATAGAAATTAAACTCCTATAACTTTCACCAGAATTGTATTGAAATCATTTAATCGTACTTAACAAACTGAACTCAAATTGTCGAAATTAAAACAGCACATCAAACTTCACACCTATTACTTATGGTGTACTTCAAGGCCCCATACTGGGACCTATCATCTTTCTAATATTTATACCACCTGCCTCACTACAGCGAAAATGTATACTTTACGTAGATGACACACCTCTGGTTTATTATAAAAAAAAACTTAAGCAAACTGAGACAAATAGTAGACAAAACTAATTCTATTATACACGACTGGTATCTTGAAAACATACTTGAAGTGAACGACAGTAATACTGTTCTTAAAAAACATCGAAATCTTTTCCTGTTCAGAATCCAGTACATTCCTAGGAGCCCATAGAGACACAAAACTGTCAAGGCAGCGTCACACAGTTAACATCTGCAAAAAATTGTCCTCTCACATCTACCTTATACAACACATTATCGCAAACTGTTGATAATGCCATACTACTCTCCGTTTATCATATATTCATACTCTCCCCTTTATTATCATATGCAATCATTTCACAAAAACACTCCCCATACGCCGCAGGAGTCTTAAGCATGCAAAGGAAAGCTATTAGGATCCAATCGAACTTGAAGTAAAGATATGACAGCAAAGACACCTTAAAAGATCTAAACTCACATTTTCCAGCGCCTTATTCATATAAAAACCAACCGGCATTATAACAGAAGTCACTCTGAGATACATAATCAGATAATCAGATAATCCAAAAACATATACCTAAATTATTATAAGGTCACAAAAACCCATACAGAAATACAACATTTTTTTAATGCTTGAGATCAGTAATTGTTGCTCGGGGGTGCCTTTTATAATTTTACTGAGTTTTCAAATGCTGATTTTAAAAATGTCTGTGAACTATGATATCCAAACCATGTTTGTTTATTTTGCTTTCTTGTATTTTCATTTCTCACCTTTGATCTGCAACATGCCATCGTTTGAATCACAATCAGAAGACGAAGGATTGTTCCCACTATCCGAGCCTTCAGCTACTTGACTAGGTTCTTTTTTTATTGGTGAATCAGTTATTTTGTTCATTGGCACCTGACTAGGTTGTGGCTTGCATTCCATTGGAGTTGGTGAACCCATATTAGGCTAAAATGCAACCATAGTTTCACTAAACTGAAATTGGTTATTTTTTCTAAAACCTACAGTAGATGTGAGTATTTGTGGTACCTGCTGTTGTTGAGATTGTGGCGACTTTATGTTACTCAGGTAAGTGGGATTTAAAAGCTGATCTGAACCACACAAACCCCTGATTTGCAACGCCTCAGCTGATTTCAAGAGGGAAGGCAGATCATCCTGTGTTACATTTACCTCGCCTTTGTACATGAAGTCCACCAATGACTGTACTTCGGTGAATCTGAAAATAAAAATCAATTGAATTATCTCAATTTATTATATTTTTCAATCTACACCGTGAATTGTCATTAATCAATCAATCAATACAAAAGATAAACGGTTTTACTTACTTCATGTCCTTCATGAAGATTATAGGATGTTGGCAGGGATTATCCAACAATAATTTTTCAAAGTACGTTGAGCAGGCTGAGAGGACCACTTTGTGGCATTTTAGCATTTCGTTTTCACATGCCAAGGTAACATCTACAAAATGTTCGGACGTTAGGAGCTTGGGAAAAGCATTTTGTAGGTTGGATTGGTAACTGTTCCATCGAACGCAGAATTGTTGAGGTGGAGTGACCATTTTCAATTCGATAATATATCTCAGTGGTTAATCATTGGCTCGTGCAAGATATCTACGTTGAACTAAAACTTTTTCATTAATCCGAAACCTGTAAGATATGATTATCGATCATGAGTACCTATGTTTCTCAGATACACTATAAAAATAATTATAATTATTTGTTTTACTGTTGGTATAGGTATGTATAGAAATCATCTAGCTAAAGCAGCAGGAATAGTAAAACTGGTATGTATTTCAGACAGTTTTACCATTTTTGCAGATGATACCACACTTTTATGGAATAATAAGAATCAAATAGATTTACACAAAAGCATCTTTAAGAACTTCAAAGAAATTAAAGAATGGTGTGATGCTATCATTCAACAAAGGCTAGTTTAATCATCTTCAATTGCAACTTATCGAAAATTCGTATGAGGAATATTTCAGTAGAAAATAAGGTCTCTACAAAATGCTTGATTATCAACGAATGTCTGAAATGTAAAGAACATATTGTCATTCTGAATGAAAACCTTTCCTTTGGATGTTTTGCACAATATTTTCATAAACAATATAGTAATGAAATAAACGTTCGTGATAAGAGGAGTAAAACATTTACTACAATTTTTGAAAGGGTCACATAAATGTTAAAATTGGAAAAAAATAGATTGCGATGTGAGAACATAACACATTTAGACCAGGAAAGTAAATGATTGGAAGTACCCTTATAGGAATCAGATAAATATATGACTTTATGCATAAAGGGCTATATAGACTATAGAGTTAATGCTACCATCTGTTAGTATAGACAAGAAGCTATCTGCTAGTATTCTTGAAGACAGAAGAACTTATTATTCTTGTGTATTCATATACAAACTGGTGAACTCACTTAAACTACTGTCTAAACTAGAGTTTCCTGTGCCAAGAGTCAGTGGTAGAACTCAACAATGTTTTTACCTACCAACACCGAGAACCAATATGTTATTCAAATCCCCCTTATTTGTAATGTGCTATAAATTTAATTAACTATGACAGAAAGTAGACATTTATTCAACACCATTGAATATATTCTAAAAAGTGATAAAAACTATTCTGTTTGCGAAGCAACAAATACTTAATTAATTTTTTTTTCAATAAAGGTATTACTGTTACGGAATATGTATATTTTTTATATTTAACACTTTTATCCCAAAACTGTATATTAATATTTCACAAATCATCAAACAGTTACTTGAAATTTGTTATTTTTTTCCTTTATTTTCATTAAAATATTCCATGAATGTATTATTAATATTATATGAATATATTTTCTAAGAATAATGCTTATGAGGATAAAATACACATATATAATTTTGCATAAAACAACCAAAGTCCAAAACTTTGTATTGCACTTTAGTTCGACAGTTTTGTCATTGCGTATAAAGAAATCCAATGTTCTATTGAAGTATAATTAATAGTGAATCAGCTGTTTTGCATATCAGAACCAAGTGCCAAATGTAATAGTAAGATTGCCTTTTTGTAGTTAGTAAACAAGTCAAATTTCAACTTATGATTTCACAGCATTGTGAATTTTGAGGTAAGTACTGAGTTGCTAGTCTAGTTAGGTAGAATAGATTTTAATGTTGAGTTCAATTATAAAATCTAATATAGTCTACTATATCCTTTCATACTTTTTGTTAATTTTTATGTGCCATTTAATATTTGTGTAGGATTACCTAATACGCAAACGGTATTAAAAAAAATAAAATAAAAATATGCTAAACGGTTTTATTGAAAAAAAAGATAATAATGATGTAGATAATGTACTAAAAACTAAAAATAAATCTGAAGGTCCTATGTAGAAGTCATGACACCATTCTCCTCAGCAATCTACGGTATTGATCATATAAAAAAATAATAAAATCGTTGGGCGTAGCGTAACCTGACTAAATATGTAAATATTACGTCCAACGATTTTATTATTTTATCTAATCAATACCGTAGTATTTTTCGATAACCGGTCGGTTCGACGTGGGTGTTTTGTTAACTCACTCAAATCGACCGCCGTGTTGGTCGGTGGTTCAAGCCCCAGGCTGAACGATCGATTTTCACTTGCTATCGTCCAACCCGTGTTAGGAATCACACGTTGAAAGGTTGCAACCTAGTTAGTCCTTAGCTCGCACAAGTTTCGATTTCTGAGGGTGGTCGTTCATAGGGTTGAGACAGCTGGTTAACGGAAAAACATATATTTTTTTAAACAGATCGGTTTTTAGTACGTATTATTTACATCATTACTATCTTTTTTTTCAATAAAACCGTTTAACATAAAAACTTTTTTTACTTATTTTTTTTTTAATTACCGAATCCTGCATCACATACATTACAGGTAGGCCTATTGTTTCTCATTAGGTTTTTTAACACTATTATTTTTGTTCTCTTTCATATTATTTCAATGTCGAATTAGTTGTCATTTATTCAGTCTGTTTTGCCAAATCACCATAGACGGGTATAGCATTCAACAACACGTTCGGGTTGCCGTCCGCGCGCTTCGCCTAGTTTATGGTCGCCATAATCGTCCTACAGAGAGGACTATTCGCAATGTGGTGGATAAATCTGAGTCCAGTGGTTCAGAAAACGATCGACCAACACCCGTACGTCGACAAAACGTAAGGTCTGCCGAAAACATCGCCGCTGTCTGTGAGAGTGTGCAGGAGAATTCCATTTTGCATCGCTCACAAGAACTTGGCCCTTCGCAGACCATAAGTTGGCGAATTTTGCGTTGTGCCTTCAAAATTTAAGTGACCCAGGAACTGAAGGTTAACGACCATAGACAACGACGTGTGTTGGGTATCTGACTAACAATATGCCGTTGAGAAAGTTCTGAAATTAAGAGTATATCGGGAGATATCCGAAAAAAAAACAAAAATTTCGGAAAATGGTTGGTGAACTTTCAAGGTGGAAATTTCACATTAAAATGTTTTTTGAATACGTTATAATGGATTTTCATCAAGTATCATCAGTTTTGTCATATTATTGATAAAATGAAAATATTTGGAAACCCTCTTTCTCACTATTCCCACTATGATTAGACATCGAACAAAACCTACAAACGTTACAAAAATGATAGCTGAAGTTTCAGTAAATATAGTGTTCTACACATTAGTCTAAATGACCCGAAGCAAGACGCTGCCAGAATAATGATCTTCACTAAACTAAGTTGATGTTCATAAGTCCGAAACTTTTAATTGCTCATTTCATGTGGAATTTATACTTCATAGCAGATATCAAATCATTGAAAAGACAAAGAGAATAATGAATACCTAGGGAACTGCAAAATCTACCATATGAAAGGCATTTAGAAGAAATGAAACTCACTACGTTGAAACAATAGAGACAGAACACATGGATGTGACCTGATCGAAATATACAAAATAATTTCAATTCATTACTCTTGTCCCTCAGATACCTATATTAAAAAAAAAAGATTTCGTTAACCTCTGAGATCACTTTAAAATTTGAAGAGACGATACAAACGAAAAAAAATTAACCTAGTATTGTATTCCTAGAACAATGAAAATCCATCACTTCCATCATCAAAAAAAAATCTGGGAAGATTCCAAAGAGAGTAAGAAAACAAATAACACACTAAAAACTCTTTATAAAGATATTAACCAACAGGTTAGGAATATAAATCAAGTGAGGTTATATTGACGTAGGTGGCAGTTTCCAAGTTAACCCCTCGGTGTAACTCATTGAAGGGAAAGGCATAGTTGTTAGAAAGGATATTCGGCTATGAAATTGATAAATGAAATATTTCAAAGAATCATCTGTAAGTGAAGAAACATATTTTTGAATTACCTGAAGTCACTGCGCCTAAAAAATTAAAAGTGAAATTATTATTTATCAGTGCTTGCATTAGAACATGTAATTTTTATTACATCTAATAATTATACATTGGGATGTCTACATAAAATAATTCCAAAGAGATTTTATACATATGAACATATTCAGATATTAAATTTTATTTACATTATGTCAACTAATTTTTCAAAGAGAAAATAAAAACTTTTTCCACATTATCTGAATTAGGTTATTAGTAAAACAATCATATACCTAGTAATTTGTCTTTATTTCAGTAATTTGATTGAAAAATAATTTTTCATTAAAAATTTATATTTGAAAAATAAAACTGCAAAAAATGAGATTAATCAAAAATTAAATATATTTAACTCCTTGAAATAAGAAAATTTTCACTAGTTATACAAACTTTTTCATTTAAGTAGACATTCAAATAATAGTCCTAGCATAGCATGGGGTGGTTTTATCTTTCATCACTTTCTGCCTCATAGGCCGGTGCCTAGAAAGAACTAGCATGCATAAAAATTGATCAAAACAAACTAGGCAAAAAGAAAAAATCGTACCAAAACATAACCTGTATTAAGGAAAATATTTTTTGAAATGTTTCATTCAAAATAACATTTATATTGTACGGCACAATAAACGGAGCGCAGTCACATAAAAATAAACAATAATTAGTTAAAATTAGCTCGATTCAATGGTATTGTTGATAAATACATGCAAAAAAACCAAATGACAATTTACTAAGCAAATTATCGTTGCGGGATAGAACTGGGTTTAAAAATAACAATTATTAAAATAAACATTATATAAAGCAAGCCTCGCCATGTTGGTTAACCCTTAAATAATAGCTGAAAAAATGTTACAACAAAAACAACATATACAGTAATGAAATTCTGCTCCCCCAATAACTGACGGCAGTAATGATAAAAAGTACCTTTAGCTGTGTCGAATAATCACCAAATACTACCGACACCAGAAAAAATTCACTGAAGATCGATAAAAACTTTTAATGCAAAATGTATCACTTAAATAATTATATTGCTGACAAGGAGTTATCTAAGACTGAAGTTTGTAGCAAAAGTCACAATAAGTTGCACGTCAGAAGCATGTAAGGAGCGGAACGTAGGTCGTAGCTTCACCCGGCGTTATACAATATTTACTCTGCTTCTCTCAGGGGGTGTAAGGATCGCTTTAAATATAAACAAGTCGATATTTGAGAAGGTTCCTCATTGTAGTTTAATTTGTACTCACCGATTTTTGCGTTACACTTTATATTTTTCCATAAAACATTTCCAAACACAATTTTACTTTGTAACTGAAAACGTAATGAAGTTCAAAATAAAATATTTATTTATAGATTCTCATTGCCGCCATTTGTAATTCGCCGGCTTGGTACAGTCAGTCTTATGCATTTATTAATCGAGAAAATAATAAACCTTACAAATTTTACAGAAAAGTAACAGCTTTTGCTATAATTTAAAAAAAAAGAAATTCCAAGTATTTGAACACAGGAGATGTCAGTTTATTTCCAGAGAAAATACTAGTTTGCCATTTGCTTGACAGGAGTGTACTGTAAACAAATGCTTCTAAGGGCGGTAGCTATGAATTTACATAAACTTAGGGTGGGTGACATAGAAATTTATTTAGAAACATATGCGTCATTCCTTTCTCCCTAGTATTACGCCTGGAAAAGAAGGTAATTAAAACAAAAGCTAAACTTTTGAACAAATTTATTGCATAGAATTCATGAAATGAAGGGTAACAAAAAATCAGTTGAAAGAATAAAAATTCCTTGAAATTATTACATATCCATGATAAATCAACATTCAGAGTTCAAGATGTGGAGAAGCCTTTTGCAATACTCTTCTTCTTCCTGTGAACAAAAAAACATTAAAAAAATATTGATATTTTAACTCTTTTCGAACTTAGCATTCTGATATGATTCATGAGTACAGATGAACCTGAAGCTGTGTTAAAATATCTTCTTACATTTGATTCTAACTTTATTGGTATGATTCAAAACTTGTCAAATTACCTGACATTCCTCTTTACTCCTAATACTCGCCAGATATCTTTGTAGAACTTCTTTCAGTTTCAAACTTGGATTTTTGCATTCTGATATAGCCTTAACATTGTTTTCAACCAAACACACCAGTAGTGACAAAACATGCTCATGACTTGTCAGCCTTTCCATTGAAATAAGAGAAATGAGAGTAGATACAAAACCTAGATTGATCAAATGATCTGAAAAAAAAGTAAAAATTATATTTCAGTGTTTAAATTGAAAAGGATTTATTTTTAGTTGAGATTACTGTCTTATTCCAAAACATCGATGTCCGCAATGGAGGATGAAAATGTTCTATGTAAGTGAAATTTTACCTCTTTCATATGCTATATTGTGTAGCAATCCTGTGAATGATATCTGATTCAATCCCATAATGATTGATTGGAATACAAAGTGAATAGGAAAAAGTATTTTTTGTATTATTCAATGTTCATATAAAAGTAGTTCTATCGAAACATTTTTTTCTTTCGAAATTGATTGTTCTCTTCCTTCCTTTGGAATATTCCCACATTTTTTTATGAAGATAGAGGAGTAAAAAGCCAAAACCTTCCTTTCCCAGATATTTCAATGTTTCTACTTGCTCAGAGCAGTGCTAATAATAGTAGGTATATTATTTTACTAGTGGAAATAACATTTTTCGCAAGCCATACTTCACACCAACTGGGAGAAAGTTGAGTTATTTGAGCTTGAGAAAATTGTTGACTAGTAAAACTCTATACTTTTTCTATGATATATTCAACCAAAAATAGTTTCAATATTCATAAATGTCTTTTATTACAAATCAGGAAGAAGATATCACTAACATTGATTTAAAATTTATGTTCAGGAAATTGTAAAATATAATTTAAAAGAAGAATGCCTGCGAAGATCGTGGACCTGTCTACCAATGATTATATATACAAAAGGACTACAAGTCAAGTCGTCAAAATAAAGAAATAAATTTACGTGGACAAAGATAAATATACCCTGTAAGATACTGAGAAATTAAAATATAACAAACATTAAACTGCTGATAATTAATGACGATCTTGTAGTTTGAATATATTTATGTTAATTCATAACAGAAGGGCACATGGTGAGATATTGCATAAGAGGTAGGTAGTCTTTAAACAAGATACTATTTACTTTTGACACTATGGATGGAAGTTGAGAATAAGGTATTAAATATTGAAAAAAATTACTTTATTCTAAGACTTTCACATAAAAAGCGTTACAAAATGGTAATTCTTGTCCGCTGTACAATAGTTTCCTCTAATACTCATAGAAGCTATTGTATAGTGTGACACATATTGTGGTTTTGTAAACTATTTGTGTGAAATTCAAGCTGCCTTCAATATGTTTTTCGAAAACTTGCATATGCCAATTATTTTTGTGAAATATATTTTTATAATTATTGTCGAGGAAGATTAAATTCAATATTAAGACATATTTTCGGGTACATTTTAACAATTTTCTTGCCTTTTATTTCTGGTGATGATCTACATAAGGAAGATAATAAGAAAGTGGCTTTTATTGTGAACTTCTCATTGTTCCTTTTGAGAGTGTTCAACAGAAATGATAGGCCGTTATAATGGAGTAATTGGTTCAACCCCTCCGAGTTCTCTCTGACAATACCTGAAAATAACATTTTCAAAATAATGATCATGGTATGATGTAATTAAATGTTTCATCTGGATTTAGACTGATTATGTAAAACATTCAACTATATAAAATACTTGCCACCCAATGCATATATGGCTTTGACAGCAACTATGGTATCTTCATCTTTTTCTATCAAACTCAAGAGCATTGGAATAAATTCATTATCTAGTACAATTTTCTGACAATAAGTATTATTCTGGCATAGAACAGCCAATAATTCACAACCTCCTGCTCTTACTTTGGCATTTGAACATTTAAGACAAGGGTAAAGTATTGTGAAGCCTCCTATTTTGTGGAAATCTACAAAAATAAATGTTACTCTTGTAATCAATTAGTACAAAAATGGCTAGCAAAGCAGGAGAGTGCTATTACTAGATTCTCACCATTAGCTATGTCAATATTATCGACATATTCCAAAATGGTATCTATAGCTTCTACGAATTCGGTAGTGTCGTCTCCAGGTTTTAAATTTTCTATTTTTCGGAGGGTTTGAATTTGTTTTTGTAAAACTTCCACTACATCTATGGTCATTGATTTCAGTGCATTTTCCAAAAATCTCTTCCTCTGAAACAACATACAATTTAATTATGGAGAGTCATATTAAATTTGTCATTGTCAATGTAGAAAGTTAGTGCACTGGCATTTGAAACCAAATGGAGTGTTGAAAGAAATGTTTTGTCATACAAATGAATACAAGAGCTTTTTTTCAGTTAGTACCTCTACAAAATCAAATGAATATGGAATTGGTACATACTTTCATGATATCAACTTGATTGTTGAAACACATTATTTCAGCAGTTCTGGAGACTGAGATAGGTGTTTTATTCAATGTTTATTATTCTATTCTGTACCTACAATGAGTTTTCATGTGTAATTTTGTTCAAATAAAATGAACTGAACTTATCTTCCTACATATAGGAATAGGTAACCTATTTTACAGGGCACTCATACAAGTGGGCTAGTTATATAATTAAATATGTTTTTGTTTCCATCCATTATTTAGCTTGCAATAAACATCATTCATGTTAGGTTGAGAGGATATAATATTGCTGCAAATAGTATAGATACTTCTGTACTAGTTTCATAGTATATAGGAATTGTGTAAAGCTCTTCAATACATTATTTAATATTTTGAAGAATTATCCCATAATAAAGTATTTATTTTTCATTCAAAACTGTACCTCCTCGTCTAAAGGCTGAAATACGGAATCATGTGGGGCATCTTCTGTTTTAGTGGCCTCCATGGCAAACCTCAGTAGTCCCTGAAGACTAGAAGGTTGACGAGGTTGTCCCATATTTCCTTCAGACTGACTGGCAACTACTTCTGGTTCAGGAATAAGTGCCAAGGAAGTTTGAGGTTTGTTTACTGCCGGCATGTTGTAGTTATACTGAAATTTTCGATAAAAATATTTTACGTCTCCCTAAAAAACTGCAAGTTCAAAATTTGATTAGTGGGAAGAATCACATGAAATTACTGTAATATAAAATGATATACATGATAAACAAAAACAAGAAACACGTTCATCTATTTTCTATTTCGCTCGACCAATGTCAGGCACAGAATGGTCTGTGATGTCAAGATCAGAAAAGTCACAAGTCACAACTGAGTTATAGTTTTGTGATCTGTGGAAAAGAACGAAACCTTTACTTTCTGTTAGGAACAACAGCTGCCAAATCACTTTACATATCACAAAATCACAAGACGTGACCAATAAATGACCAATCTCCGCGCAGAAAGCTGAAGTAAAACCATCAGGCACCTGTGCAGCGTCTTCTATCTGGATGATTCGTCACAAGTAACTTCCTATATATTAAAAATTCAAAGTAATATTTGGTTAGGATGACCACCAACAGGCCGGCTTCGGAATATTAGCTCCCCGTCAGTGCCAGGTGGGTCATTTCAGACGAAGCGAACCGTCTGAATATCCCGAAGAAAGAAAATTGTCTGCAGGTGGCTCAGTGGTACATCCTACTGAATCAAATGCAGACAAAACTTATGACTAGTTGGAATTATTCTGTTTGTTTTCTCAAACTACACTTAAACGATTTGATCTCCACTAATGTGTGAAATTACTATGGATCTTCATCAAGTAACGGCCGAATCAATCAGAAAACTGTTTGTTTTCTTTGATAGTAAAATAATCTAATGATTTTTTTCTTTGGAGCTTAAAACCGTTTCGAAATGAGTTATATTGCCTTTTCTTAATAACAAATAAAATTAATTTCGAACGAGCTCCTCCGGAGAAAAGTTGAAGTTTCGAAAAACGTATAATTTCTCACTTGAATTTTATGAAACACATACAAGCAAATACATACAACACATGCGCACACATACATACACTCACACACACACTTTATTCACTTTCTCTAATGTCAAATAAATGAGTAACACATAATTTCGGTTGCCTGTAGCGAATGGCGTCAGAATACCCCTGCCAAATAATGAGATGAGCCGTAAAGGTAAGAGTCCCCTAAATGGCACCTCATTCTAATTCGTTTGTGTCAGACTTATATATATGATTCCGAGTCTACCGTGTCACTAACGGAGCCTCCCGAGATGGTTATATTTTTCCTAGCTACTCATGAAGTCCTTTATTGATCAAAAAGCAACTCTAGAGACGAGTTACACGTTGACTAGACGGCCCCAACTGCCCTCCCTGTAATATCTGCTAAAAGACAAGAGCTTTTCAATTCACAATCTCTTTACCCTGTTAACAAAGCTATGAGGTTCCTTCTTGTTTGAAAACAAATTTTTCAAGATTTTTGTATTGGTTATGTTAAGATGTCTATACACTGATGAATAATGAATATAAATGCTGATATGCGTTTTTGTTTCTGAAATTGTTGTAGACCGAATAGGGTAGTTCTGACGTTGCCCCAAATGGTCAATATTTCTAATGATATTAGACATCGTCATCAATTGATTATTTTCTCTTAGAAATTTATCATCTCTTCGTTATATTATACGCTCTGAAGGTGAACCTGTATGAATTGATGTATTTACCTTTCCTGTCTCCATTATAAAAATGTGTCGAATAAAATGAATGAAATATATACATCATGTATCAATACTTTTGTAATCGGAACATACTAATCTGATCACATCACTACACACTATGCAGTTGTTTAAAACCAAAGTGTACCACTGGCTGTTTTGTGAAGTGTACACAGCATCACAAACAGGTGGTTTGTGCACAGCATCAATAGCATACCCTATGCTGTGGTGTGTACTTTTTGTTCAAAAACACATATTACAAAAATGTAGTTGTTATCTGTGTTGTAAATGTTTGTTTATGGGTGTAGGGAGTGGTGGTGTGAGTAACTGTAAGATACATATATGATAATAAATAAGGTGAAATGATTTCTTACTGAAGACCAGATAAAAATGTCTCTGAAGTGTACAATATCAAAACTTTCTCCCGAGGACTACAAGCAATGTGAAGATTTTACTGTGATATATGGAACTGTAAATACAAAATTCGGAAAATGCTTGATGGGAATGCATGAAGATCAAATATGTTTTCTATCTTTCATTGATGATTCTGGTAGTATGAACAGCAATGGACTTTGTACTAGTGAACTACTCAAGTTATTTCCAAAAGCATCATTGTATGAGAACAATGGAAAAATCCTTGGAAAAGCCCAAGAAATATTTGATCAAAATGCCCAAGGAGAAGTAAAAGTTCTTCTTAAAGGTTCAGCTTTTCAAATTAGAATTTGGGAACAATTGGTCAAATTGAAAAGAGGATCGACAACAACTTATGAAGACATTGCAAAAGCTATTGGTCATCCCAAGGCAGTAAGATGTGTGGCATCTGCTATTGCAAAAAATAATATTTCATATTTAGTTCCTTGTCACAGAGTCATCAGCAAAAATGGGACACTGAATAAATATAAATGGGGTACTGAAAGGAAGTTGAACATGTTACGAGCAGAAAAAATGGTGTAATAATTTTTTTAATACATTACTCCAGTGAAATTATCTTTCCCAACAGTAAATTGTTGCATTGGCAGCAATTTTCACCCTGTATTCAAAAATTGAACATTTATATGTTCAAAGAGTATAAAGTGTTTATATTTGAAGGCAACTGGTTTTACAAATCAGAGTCATTCGAACATTTTCTGGTTGCCTGACATTTATATGACTATGAATCACATAGCTCTATGAAAAAGAAATAACAATCATGTGAACAATAAATGGCAAGTAAGCAAATTCAGAGTGAATCAATGAATGATTGAGATTTATATATTGCTATATTCACTAACATGGCTAGAGTATATTATGTTTTTGAAAAGTCTTTTATCATATGAAATGTGTTGTACACATTAGTATGAAAGTGTTTTTTGAAATTTAAGAAGTTTAGTCCAAGTTGGTTATCGCAAACATAAGTCATTTTCTAAATATGTTTCGTATCCCTCAAAATACTGACAGTAAAATAAAAGACCTTAAAAAACAGATGGGCAGTAAAATTATATTATTCATATTTCTGAAGACGAAGGTTTTCCATGTTCTATTATTAGAACTATATATTATTATATTTAAATATCTCCGAAACTAGTCTACTTTTATTTTATTCAAGATAAACAAAATATGTTATTAGTGACTTCAATTGATTTCTTCTTGACAAAATTCTTAGTATCAGGTGTCTTTTGCTAACATCTCATAAATCATATTCAGGAAACGCTTAATTGTGAGATTTTCACCACATAGTTTTACAAGAACGCAACTCGTTTTGCTATACAAAAGCTTTTTTAGGCATGTCTATACTAGACACGCCTAGACAGTTTTACAGAAAGCAACACATTTCGCTGTACAATAGCTTTTTCAGGCGTGTATATACTAGACAAACCTGAGAACAAGTTGATTGACCTCATTGACTTCTTTTCTGGCAGTATTACCATTTAGATTAGCAACATTTAAAAAAGGAGGTTTATTGGATGCATAATTATAACTATATACTCAATCAATAAAAGTTCACAAGATTGGTATAAATAGAACTGTTTATCTATGTCATAATTCACAACTTATATCCCTTTACAATTTCGCTTACTAAATTAAATATGGACATTTTCATTTGGTGGAAAACATCCAATTGTCAGACTTTTTATGTCCTTCATCAATTCATATAATGGAATAAAAGTACATGTACATAAAAACATTGGTACAATAAACTAACCTCAAAATTAAAGGAGATGACTGATTTTTGCTCAATTTTTTGTCATAAAATGAGTATGGAAAAAATCAATTAATTTTGACACATTGGGTTTTTTAACTCCAAATGTTCGCAGGAGAAAAACTGAAGTGGAGTTAACTGTATTTTTTCCAGAACTTAATGCAATATTTTCTAGCAACTATTGATTCCAGAAGCATTCAAGCCCCTGAAATCAGAAACATCAAGCACCATGGTATAGTTCTAGACCAAGATAGTAAGGTTGAAATTTAATCCATTGAGGAAACCCATGACAGCATAATTAATAAATCTGCTCAGTCAAATGTCATTTCAGAGTACTTTCATATATCGGCGACTAAACAGAGCAAACTAGTGCCAGAAAAATATAATCTTCAGTACTAACCGAGAGAACCTGGCTGGGACATAACTTACTCTTTCTTCATAAAATTTTGGATTGCTGCGCCAGAAGAAGAATTTGACAAAAAGAAAAGAAGATATGGTTTAGTGTTGCCCAGTGAAATCATGTTGGTAAAAATATTGAAAGTTTCATCAAGAAATCTTCTTATGAAATGCTCCATAACCTGTTAGATCACCATTTTGCTTTATCATTTGCACAGATCCTGATACAATAGAAGATAGGCTTTCTTTGGTAGTTTTTTTGTTTGCCACTGGAGAAATTGATTAATTTTTATAAAGTTATGTTTGAAAATGTAATGGAGGATAATTATTAACTGTGATAGAGTATTTGGTATTTGGTTTTTAATTATATCCCTTCCAACTAACTGTAATTGGTTGTTAAATTGCGTTCATGACATTCAAGTGTAATAGAGTTGATACTCATTATCAAGTACAAACAATATCTTAATAGTTTACAATAAAGACTATTTTTTGATTGATAAGTTTTACACGCCAACAATTATTAATCTTATTCGTGCCAAAACTACAGCACTCAAATAAAAAACAAATGGGTAAGAGTCATTACTTGGAAAGTATTTGTATTCATAGTGAATAATTCAATATGGAATAGATTATAGACCAGAAATTTAAAATGAAAACAATGAAAGAAATTTCGTTAGGAAAATGAATGATACCGATCAGTTGAGAAATGCCACTAGTGATTCTATTGATGTTTAAGAATTAATAAGTAGTAAACAGTACTTTCCTTACACAATATGTACAAATCATGTAATGATTATGAATTCTGCAATATCCATTAAGTTATGCTCATGCATCCAATAACCTACTCATAGAGTTTAATGTTGTGTTGGATTCAATAGAATTGATTCATTCTTATTTTTATTCAGTTCAAAGAATCTTGTATCCAACCAAGAAAGAACATATCAATGCTCATACAGTCTTTTTTTTACAGGGCAAAACAAGAGTTGATTAACCGCTTCTTTAAAACGGGCCAAGAAAAACAGAAAAATAAATGATTTATTTATTTATTTATTTGTTTATTTATTCATTCATTTGTTTGAATATTTACTAGCAAACCATTCTGAAATGATAATCACCAGTCCAATTATTGAAATAGGTCTGAATACTTTTTTCATAAAATTGATTTCACAATCGAGGTTCATTGACAACAATAATTTGTCTTTAGAATACCAGTTTGAGTTATTCATAAAATTATTATAAGAAGCTACGTACTTTTATTACATATAAACAAAGCATGGTTTTCTAATAAATTGGGACATATGCGTTGAGTGTACGAATTTCCTAAAAGAGTTATCGGGACAAAACAATCTTGAGATAAAAATTATTACAAAAAATTGAAACTCAATTGTTGTAAAAAAATTGAGAGGTAAAACTGAACTATAATAATCATCTTACAGAATCATCAAGTAACTTTTCAAAAACTTCACTTTCAAATATAAAGGAAAAGTGACAAGCTAACAAATAATAATAGCAACTTTCTTTAATTAATATTTTCAAATGTACTCAAATCTGTATCATAACAAATTTACCTCAAAGTCAACACCACAAAATTGATCATAACTGAAACTACTCAAAATGAAATCAGAGAAGCTATACATAATATGAAAAGAAACAGTAGCAGGAACTTGTGATGCACTGTTTGGAACCTTTGGTGTAGTAATGAATATTACTGGAGTTTTTTCCCAACACCAAACCGTTTTTTTTAACACATCGACACGTGTTTCAATCACCAACTGATCATCTTCAAGAGGAAGATCAAACTACTCATACTCACAAAGCTATTCTTATTTATTACATAGATACCTGTTCTAGGTACCTGCGTCTTGAGTGTCTTAAATTAATTTTACAATTTGCCTTATCTACTTGTCCTAAATTAATTTTACAATGTGTCCTTATGATAGTCGGGTACATCTAATAATTGCAATATTATAAGATATATAAAATTAATTTAACATATTGCCTTATCTATGTGAATAATGCAATATGTGAAATTAATTTTATATAGCTTGTAATATTTCAATTATTAGATGTACCTGACTATTACATAAGGACAAGTAGATAAGGCAAATTGTAAAATTAATTTAATACACTCAAGACGCACGTATCTAAAACAGATATCTACGGTACAAATAAGGATAGCTTTGTAAATGTGATTATTTTGATCTTCCGCTTGAAGATGATCACTTGGAGATCAAAACACGTGTCGAGGTGTTGAAATAACGGTTTGGTGTTGGGAAAAAAACTCCAGTAATATTCAGTAGGTATCAGGAACATTTACGATATAAGCTCGGAACCCTTAAAATCGCTTAGGAACCAAATAATATAAACCTTATGTGAATTGTTCATCAGGAGTATCAAGCTTGGTGTATATACTCGTTGTATATTGTGGTCTCAAAAATTGTCCTTATCTTGACTACCTATATAGTGACATGCCGATATCACTACCACATACCTTGTCAAAGACCTATGAAAAAATACTGGAATAAATATGAAAATAAATAATCATTTTGAACAAAACAGACTTTTTACAAACTCCTAAAATGATTTCCACCATAACAAATCGAAAATTCTTGCAATAAGTAGATATAGTTATATTTACTATTAATTCCGGCATTGATAACANTCCCTCATCTTGTGTAAAGAATTCGTCCTTCAGTTGGAAATAACAGTTTCGTACACAGCATCCTAGTAATTCCATAATTACTTCTATAGGTAGATTCGTTTTCTATTTCAGGTTCCCGTCTTCGGATAGCTTTCTCTATATGAACGTTGGTGTAAAGGCTTTCCACGTCGAAACTTATTAGTTGATCTTCCTATGTGACTTCAATTGACCCTAGTAGTTCGACAAAATGCATTGAATTCTTCACAAATGACGATGTTTTTCCTTGTAATGGTTTTATTAAGGGAAATAAAAATCTAGACAAGTTTCGAGTAGCCGAATCTCTGGAGCTGATGATCGGTCTAAGCGGAACGTCCTTCTTGTGGATTTTGGGTAGTCCATACAAGTGAGGAGGCTTACTGTGGTGCGGTGTTAGCGATGATGTAAACTTGAATATACTTTTTGATTCTACCCTAACTTGGAAATTTCATGTTGATATAATAAAAATTATGCAGTGTTACGTATCCCCTGAAAAACTTGAGATAAGGAACAGTATTGACTACTGCAGGCATATTCATCGACACTCCCACTCCGCACGTGCTGAAAGATTTTTTTGCATTTAGTGACTAGCTATACGCTTCATGCTCCATCAAACTAATAGAGATGTCAAAATGAGGTTCACTGAACTAGGAATCTTAACTGTTCCATCACACTACATCTACGTATGTCTTAAATACGTAAAGATGAGTCTACAATTCTATATGATATAATAGGTACTCGTCAAAAAGATAATCATGTTGAACAATATAGCCCATTTTATAAAAATCTGAAATTATGAAACTCCTGTATTCTTTGCATCTATGAGATGCATCTTCACTAAGAGGTTCCCAATGACGATAGAACAATTTCTGATGAAACAAGCCTATAATAGTATTGAATAGTTCTTACCAGATGAAGCTGTTTCTTTTATGCCAGTGTTGTAGTACTGATCCATCGAGTGAAAACTTTCATACCTAATTTTTTTTCTTGTTCAAACTTTGTTTTATACGGTGCGCGCGTAAAAGGTAGAATAAAGTCATTTGCTGCTAAAAGTATCATATTCGTGATAAATCTTTGGACAGTTCGATTTTCAAATTCAGTTTGCCGTGTTCTCGAAAATACTTCCAGTATACAGGATGATTCATTTCAGAATCACCTTGTGGAATCAGCCGATTCCACAAGTGAACCCATTTCATTTCTTCTGATGATTGGTCCTGCGGAGAGACTCAAGTGGCAATTATTGATTCGACGTGCCCGGATGATAGATTTGATGGGTATTCAGACACTAAGTATACATTTGAATGAGGAGCGTGATTTTGAATTCAACCAGGACGAGTTTGGACAGTTATATGACCCAAATAAACTAAATGCCGACTTTGGGGTGATGAATGAGTTTTTCCCAATCTTTCAGGGACCACCCAGCCTCGACATTATGGATCAGTATTTGACAAAGCATACCAATTCGTTCCACCCCCAAAAATAATCATAATGGCTTATTTTCCGGAACCTGACATCATCAGTATTGATGATGATGATTTAATGCAAATTTCGCGGCCAGTTTGTAGTTAGACGGGCCGCTTCCAGGTCGTGTATTTTGTACAGGCGCGAAGCGCCTGTCACTGCCATTCGGGCCGTAAATTTGCAGGTGCAAAGCGCCAGCCACTCACATTCGGGTCGTGTATTGGTAGGCGCGAAGCACCTACCACTCGTGAATTTGCAGTTGTGGGTGTGAAGCACCCACCAATCTGCCACAAGTCCAAAAAATATTTCATTATATTGTGGAAAATTTCGACGCCCTGGCTCAAGTATCTCTTTCACAACCTGCACGCTCAGTAAAAGTATCAACTAAATCAGTTATAATGTCAATTCGCATTTTCAAAGTACTTATTCGATCAGCTAATGCAGCATTGATGCAGGCATTTTGCTGATGAATCGAAGTTCGATGTGTTTTGGATCAACGTATTTCCTAACGTGGCGAAGCATTTTGGTACATTGGATTCCTTGACAGCCTCCAAAGTTAACTCGTTGATTTCCCTAATGTGAACGTCAACATATCCTTAAGTGGCATAATCATTACCAACGTATTCCAAAAACACTTTATTGTGAGATTTTCACTAAATTGTTTTACAAAAACGCAACACGTGTTTCGCCATACAATGGCTTCATCTGGCGTGTCTTTGGAAAGACACATGGTGACAAGCACCATGTGGTGTGAGAATGAATCCAATACCCGACCTTCCAACAATTGGCTTACTAACGCCACCTCTCACAGGCACAAATTAGTCAATTGTGCTATGCATTAAAAGATTGTCTGTGAGTAACTCAGCAAATATCACACATGGAGTTCATGATATTACCGTCAATAGACTAATCCTTCTTCACGTAATTCCTCAGTTATGACCAATAATTCATTATCGTGCCCGGTATGTCCAGCCATAAGTGAACTCCAAAGTAACCGAATCGACCGCGATCAACCAATTCTACCAGTTTATTCCAATAAACATAATCTATATGTTTATTTCTGATATATATTTTTGAGTGGGTATTATGCCAGCACCTTCTCTACTGGAGTTTTTCAGTGAATTTCCATTGGATAATAATAGTGATATGATTACTTCCCAATATATTTTCCAATTATACGATATTAGATTGGCCGCGGTGGTAGTGCACCCGACTCACGATCGGAAGGCCGTGGGTTCGATTCCTGCCTCGACCAGACCAGACCCCGTTAGTCCTTAGCTCGCACAAGTTTCTCAACTTCTGAGAGTTGTCGTTCGTATGGAGGCGCTAGCTGATTAACGGAAAAACAGATTTTAAAACAGATAGACCCTGTTTTATTTCGTTGTATTTATAAGCTGCCTTAGTTAATCTGAGTAAATCACCATGAGCAGTCATATCGGAAGTGGGAATATTTCCTGGTGGTACTTTCATAAATATTGATTTTTATAGTTTTTTGTGTGCCCTGATAAGCGGCAATAGTTCTACCATTCTTCTTGAACACAATTTTCTCATCGATGAACTCCAATAAGCCACACCCATTTGCAAATTCTCCGTTTCAGTCTTCATGCAAACTCCAAAGACGATATCGTATGAAGGATTTCCAGATAGTAACTTTTTTATGTGCTTTTGCATCTCATCACCATTATCAAATGCTTTAGGTGATTTCAATTCTGAAGTTGTCATTGGAAAGGTTCGAAGATTCTTGAAAAAGCCCCTTCGACATCATTCCCCCCGTGATGGTTCCTCAAATTTTGGTTTCAATTATAGCTTTCACGGTGAAGGGTGTAGCACTATTTGTTTTCTGCATAACCTGATTTATTTAAGATGCTCCTCCAGTATTGGCTGATATTGCTTTCAGATGTATTATAATTGGCTCATAGATTATCTCGAGTGTTGATTGAGCACCTAGGCGATTGCCCTTGAAATGCATCTGTTGCTTCAGTCAACTTCCTTTCAAACATATTTCATTATAAATTTTTCTCTCCACTTCTCACTTCGAGACTTTGTGCAATAAAGTGTCTTCTACACTATCTAACACTCAAATGATTCAATTTCTTCAAGAACG